CTACCAGAATACAGAGTGTGCTTCGATGTCTTGCACGCTTTAGATTTAGGTGTGACTGCCAGGTTGGCAGGCTCCATCCTACATGCCTGGGCATATCCACCTGGATCCAAAAAAGAGGTTGGGCCTGGCAACACTGCCAAAATATGGGCACTACTCAAAGAAGCATACGCAGAATTGCACATCACAGAGAAGTACAACAACCTCGTGGTTTCTATGTTTACTTCTGAAAGAAACCCATTTTCACAGCCAGCAAAGCTCAAAGGCCATGCAGGAGAGATTCGACATCTCATGCCAGCATTAGCCATGGTGGCCTGGAAGAAGGCCAGTGAATGTGAGGCTTTTGCCCACATGGCTGAATGCTGCCACCAAATGGCAAATTTCTATGCCATCATTTCAGAAGATGATTTTTTCATGAAGGACAGCACAAAAGCTGAGAAGTGCTTGAAAGAAAGCATGCAGCATTACATTTGGTTGCACCGCCATTTTGGAGATGAAGTCAGATTCACATTGACGCCTAAATGCCACTATGTGGCACACATTGCTTTGATGCTGCATTTCCAAAACCCAGCTACCTGCTGGACATACAAGCAAGAATCATTCATGGGATACATTGCAACCTTGGGCCACAGCTGCTCACATGGAACCAGAGCTTCGAGAATCAGTGAATCTTTCATCACAAAGTACACCATGGCTGTGCAGCTCAGAATCAATGAAATAATTTAGAGGCTTGAAAGAAAGCCAAGCCTGGAATGCTGCTGTAGACATGGCTTCAAAGAAAGCCCTGACACCTTCAGCTTGTCAAAGAAAAAGCTTTGCCAAGATCAATATCGATCAATATCGATCAATATCATTTTCAATATTTTCCATCAATTTTAATCAATCTTGATCAATCTCAAGATCAATATAGGATTGATCATGGTATTGATTTTTGAGGTCCCAACATGTGCCATTTTCAATATTATTGAAAATGATTTTTTTTCAATACAGGGATTGAAGTTTTTCAATATCGGATCCTCAGGGTTTCTTTTGCAGCGCCCCAACTGTATGGTATGGTATGACACCTGTCAATGCAACTGCAAATCACAGTTGCACCATCCTTTCTCAAACTCAGAAACAAGTTTGAATTCAGTTGTTGGAAGATCTGGATGAGCTCTCACAGCGACATGCTCCATGCCTTTCATTCACTCCCCAGCGTCTGGGTAGCAAACCATCACCATGGTCCAATGCTTTTGCCTTGGCTATCTTCATCTAGGAGAAAGATCGCCAAACCGGACCTGCAGGTGCAGGTGTGCCGGTGTGCCCGAGATGAACCAGGATTGACTAAAGCAATGGAGCGCCGCACAAGAATATGCATAGCAGCGAAAAGATCGCAATAAGCAAGTGATAATATTCAACGGCATAGAATCATCTCAAGAATCTTTTCGCATCTGGGCCATCCATCAGCGAAGGACATTTTGTCAAGAAATGGTTATCGTTTAGTTATCGTTTTCGTTATCGTTCAAAGAGGGAAACATTTTTGGAAAATGGCATGAACCAAGGAATGTTGGAAAGGAGGCCTGTTGTCATCGTCAGTGATTGCATGAAAGCGGGAAAATACAAAACGCTCATCCGGAAGGCTTGAACAATGGCGAGACAAAAAGAGCATCCAAATCCAGCTAGTTACCACATACTGTAGCAATACGTGCTTGGATACAAAACTGTTTGCAATAATCAGAAATAAAGAAATTGGCCAGGATCAAGAGTGTCAGCATACTTTTGCACATCTTCCGTTGTGTGAGCTGGTCATGACGTACCCCACAACTGAGAGCCTAGATGATCTAGATGCTTCTAGAACAGGTGTCCACCATCATGTCATGTACACCACCCCTTCACTTCCCACAATGCTTTTACATATGATATGATTCCCACGTTATCGTTTTTGGGAGTTCACTATATCGTTTTACATATCAAGATGCATATTTTTACATGAAAGATCGCTCGAATACATACCTCCTACACAAAGAGTTTAGCCTCTTGCTCACGTGCATTTTCAGTGGGCAAAAACGCCCGGAACCGGGATGGAGGAAGTTGGTATAGGCACATGACGAGATGCGCCCCAACCACGACCCCAACATCTGCTCAGGATGAACTGCTGGGTCAGCATCCTAAACTGCTCACATAGCTTAACATTCAAAGAGAAAATTCAAATTAGATTCAATGGATCTAGATTTGGTATCTAGATGTAGTCTTTCCAACACAAAGCTGCTTCTATGATTCTCCTAGAAATGCTCTGACTAGACCCTTGCAGAGAAGCTTCTATGATTATTCTCCTCGCAGCAGTATTCATCCGGCAAGCTGCCCTCCGTCTGTGGGATCTTGTGCATGGAAATCTAGCAAGAACATGTCTGATTCAGGTTGGATATTCATGTCAAACTACATTTGTTAAACAAAATATACATTGCATTGCATTGCATTCCCTCATTCCTGCACTGTTTGACGTGTACGTTTACATTTGCGTTTGCCAGTTACATTACATTTACAATACATTTGTTTAATTTATTTTTTTTTTAAAAATGTTTGCTATTCACGCATGCCATAATTATGAAAACGTATGAAAAAGTATACGGTTTAAAACGCATATGTGTTTCACATCTAGGAGCTATACAAATATTAAATGAGTATCCCCTTCTTTCAGGCACAAGATGCGGTCCGGTCGCGACTTTGCTGCCATCAGCTGCGATCAGACGGACAGATTCGGGCAGGAACTCGTTCTGGTCTCTTGCATTCTGTGGCTCCATAAATGGGGGACTCCAAAATGGATGGTTTAAATGGTACATCTTCTTATGGATGCTATATATAGGATGATTTGGGGGTACCCCATTTTAGGAAACCTTCACGCGAAACTTAGAGTCTTAGAGTATTAGACTTGGAGTATTAGAGCCAAACATGTGAATGAGGATCGGAATTAAAAGCTGACCTGACTGAGCTGACAGTACGGGACGTTGATGATGTCGATGTCGATGCGCCCGATGTGGCCAATGCGCTCGATGTGACCGATGTGGATGAATCGATCCCTGTCAGATGCCTTCGGATCAGGTTTTTGGCATAGGAGTTTTGGCGCGCTTCCTCCTGAAGCTCTTGGTGCACTTCGTAGAGACTCTGCGCGGCAAAATGTTGGTTCAGCCGATTCTTGATGCGAAACCGTGCTTGGCCACGCCGCTGTTTCACCTCAGGCACGGCAACCTGATCTGCATGGATTGAATGTGAATATTCACATTCCTCCCCCTTGGCACAACCAGCTGCGTATGAATAGAAGAGGCAGGGATCAAGATAAAGGTCAGCTGGAGCTTCCCTTGAAGGTCTGGAATGATGCACAGCTGTCTCAGCAGTCTCCATGGCTGAAGATGGAGCTGACTCAACCACTGAATCCTCAAAAGCCACAGCCTTTATCTCCTCGTCTCCAGATTGCCCTGACCCTGACTGGCCCGTTTCTTTGTTGGAGTCCCCGGAGGCATCCCGAAGACAATCATTCACATGTAGAACCCATCCTCTGAGATCACCAAGGTCGAGTGTTTCAATGGCAAAAAGTAAACACAACTCTATGCAGCCTTGCCTGTGAAAAGAAAACAACAATCTTTATGTTGGGGTGGGGATCGCAAGAAATTCAAATGTGATGGTGATGGTGGTGATGGTGATGATGATGATGATGATGATGCTGGTGGTGATGATGATGATGATGGTGGTGGTGGTGGTAATGAGCGGGCAAGCAATTTGTTTTTGCGAGCCAACCAACCCTCAAGTGAAGCATTCTCGCATCAAAATCCGACCACCCCCAACCTCTGTCAGAAACAAATCTCAAGGATTCTCAGGGTTTCAAACACTGAATTACGAAGACAAGAGAGCGTAGAACACCTCACTCTGCTCCTGTCAAGGTTGAACTGCTCGACCCTGACGATGATTGGGTGGACCGTTCTGTAGGGCTTGTTCCGGACATCAAACTACCGCTCCCCTGACACAGCTGTGGCAAGGCTTTTACCACTGGCCCGAGTAAACATAGATAAACACAAATAGAATAGAATAACCACAGTAAACATTCCTCTGGAAGCATGTCTGGGAGATTCTCTAACTCCCCTCGCGCCCAAAGAACGAACTCCCTTTTTGCAAAAGGGGAATTCTGTCCAACCTTTTCTGTTCCCTCGGGGCTGCCCTTTCGACCAAAAGCGTGCTAAAAGCAGCCACGGCACATGTTTTGCGAAATGGGACGCAAAATTACCTAAATCACTACCATCCACTGAACCACAAAGTTTACGGGAGACACAACCTGCAAGATGTCCCATGCAAAGCTGATTCTGATACTTTGCAAGCTACCAGTAGTCAGTCATCACTCCGGTCATGTCACAACTCAAGTTATTGGAGCTCATCCTTGAGGCGAAAGTCCACCACTAAAGTCAGTTGATGTCAACTGTCTGCCACTTCAAGGATACACATCGGGAGCTCAGCTTCAGTCCAAATCAACTGGAAATCACAACGTCCAACTGAACTTTCATCTGAACGAATTCAAAATTCTTTGCTGTCAAAATCTGGCTAAAAATGCTGTGTTTTAGTGTTTCTTTTCACACTTTTGCAGTTGCTCAAAAAACCTCCGTTTTGGATGCTACGGTATCATCTGCCGGTGGACCTGATGGACCGACTTATGGCAAGCGCATGGCTAAGCCCAAGCACTTTTGAGAAGAAATTGGACATCAAGTTGCCTCTCAAATAACTTTACAATCCATTGAGTAAACAAATATGTTGTTTATTCAAATCTCATGAAATGGCACATTACCTGTTAATCCAAAATGTGTTAATTCTTCAGGTATTTCATGATATCAACATATATCGGTAGATGATGATGGGCCCACGTTCTACTTTATATGATTTTACATGTTAGATTCAAGATTCCAACAATTTCTAAAACATATCATGATATCCAATTTCATCTTTCATTTGTTACTTAACCATGCCATGTCACATGTCCCCGCCTTCAGGGGTGTCGGTAGAAGCGCTTCCACCGCCGCTTTGTAAATCTCCAAAGTCCCTGCCACGATCTTCCTTAAGCAGTCGGGTTGTGCCATGGCCTAAACAACATGTCAAAACACCAAGAGTGTGTGTGTGTGTCTGTTGCTACATGCTGGTACAAGTATGGGTTAAAATGTGTTAAAATTACGTCTATGTATATATATATATGTATATATGTATCAATATACATATAGGCAACATTGGTCCAACAAATGTCCATTAAACTCCCGTAGGCTGACCATTGATTCTCCAAGCCTTACCCAGCAACATTTAAACATCAGTCTGTTGATAAGTGGAACAGGGCTCTGGGAGCCACATGAAGACAGAGTGCCGCCGAGGGTTTCCCAATTCCAAAGAAATCAAGGCCAATTTGCTTGCAAATTTGCGGCTGGTGAACATCATAAACATCCAAATGCTATTCTGCTATCCTCTTATCCCCTTCTCAATGGGAATTTCAGGATCCTAAAATGGAGGTACTGTACTAGTACTGTACCATTTTTCAGGCCATATTTTGTGGGGATATTCCCTTACATAGGCCTAAGAAATAGGCCTTATATATGGTAGGTACCTCCAATAAATCGGTTCCTAAAATGGCCATTGACTTTCCATTTAATATGATTGTTTCATACTTTTTCCTTGAGTATGATGCGCCTTCCCCACTTCCAGGCACCATGAACTCAGCATCCACGGAAAAGGACTTAGGAAAAAAGGTGACTTAGGAGTTGCTCAGCCCAAAAAAACAACCTTTTTTGATTCGGGTATGACTTAAATCCTTCAATTTATGGCACAAAACAAACTGAGCACGCTAGTTGCCACAAAAATCGCCAAGGTACTTGGAAAGGCCACTGACCTCACCTGGATAGTTGTCAGCTTGAAGCTTCCAATCCAAAATGGTGGAGAAAATCATCTTCATGTTGTCCTGAGATAAGGGCATCTCAACATCCCAGGGCTCTCAACCGAATTTTGTTGACACTTTTTGGAGCATTCCCATGAACACACGGCTGCAGCTCATTCGGTTTCTGTTCTTGATCCCCTTACAAGTGGAATTGAATTCAATTCGCCAGTCTCAAGAGGAATTCTGACAAGATCAAAAGGGCAAACAAAAGTATCCACCATCCAAATATAATGAAATACGGTTTCATGATACATTGATTTCCACTGTTTTACTGCGCATTTACCATTGAAGTCATGCGACCGATATGCTGTACACAAAAGATCAATTATATATATTTATATAATATCTATGTAAATATGATATTATATAAAAAATATATATATATATAATTATATATATAGTTACATAGTATATATATAAATACATCTATATATGTATGTAAATATATAGAGTGCGTGTGGACATGAACATTCTTCGACACACGCACCGTGTACCCTTCGTCCCCGGATCTTGGATGGCTCCCAGCACCCAGTTTTCCACGAGGCTCGTCATCCAACAGGGGGAAGCCAACCAAGTACAAATGTCCACACATCCGCGGGGTAATGAAGGTGCGTCCACCTGCCGACACAAAAGTCTTGGAGATATCCGGAGATATCCGGAGAATCTCGGCCTCCTATCTGGGATGAATTGATGTGAGGATATGTGAGGGCTTAAGAATTCTAACCAGTTGCTGCTTTCATGTCTGGGTTTTGGTCGCAGCTCGGGTCACCAGCAAATGATTGTCAGATGACGGCTTTCAGGCCGAGTTTCCTGCATGGTCCATGTGCCGGCAGCGATTATCATAGAACATGTTTATAAGCTGTTCAAAGAATTACTTGTTGAAGCAAACAAAATTATCCCTAAATCCACATGCATATCTTAATATGATTTAATCTCGCGTTATAGGGGCGTGAGGACGGGCGAGAGGGGGCGAGAGGGGGCGAGAGGGGGCAAGATAGATATGGGCACCGGGGGGGGGGCGTTTATCAGTTTAACCCCCAGCCCATCTCAAAAAAGCAACATCTCAATGGGTGCACCAAAAATACCGTGCATGTTTGGTTTGCAACCAGTTCACTCCCCGCCATCAAATATACATGTCTACCGTCGAAAGCAGATACACTAGGCCAACTACCATATCACAAAATACGCATGTATTTTTAGCAGCCAAGCAATACAATCACCAAAAAAGGACAAGTTTAAACTAATCATAATGGGGTAAATCATGCTAATCATATGAATGTTGAACACAAATACAACTCATCTAACTATCATCTAACTATCATCTAACTACCATCTAACTATCATCTAACTGTCATCTAGATTTACCTTCGGAAAAATTGAACCTAGCCTATCATCATGGTCAACCCTCATAGCTTTCTACATCAATGGAACATCCCATAGCTGCCATAGCAGCGTTGTGCGCTGTCCGCGCCTCCAGGTGGTCCCATGGCTGCGAAGAGGAGCACGTCGATGATGCTGCGGAAGGGATGCGTCACGTCCTACGAAGCGGCGCCACGGGCTGGATTTGAGATGGACACGGACACGGGCTGGGAAGCTGAGAAAAGGTGGAAACATGATTGATCCTCAATGAACACCCCCCCCCAAAAAAAAACGCCGAAGATCATATTTCATTGATATTTGCAGTGTTTTTGTAGCAATTTGGCATAAATGTTCGGGCGGTATGTTTTTAGCTTAAAATAGGAAATAGGTACCATATGTATATATATATATATATATATCTGTGTGTGTGTGTGTCAAATGGATATATACGTCGTGTGTGTGTGTAACAGTGTATGTATATATATATATACATTATATATATATATGTGTGTGTGTACTTAGGGCAAATTTTGTTCCAGGCATTTGCAAACGTTTGCAAACGGTTCCTGAGTCCAGCCTCCTGGATTGAAGATTGAAGATTGAAGGCTGGGAAAAAACTTCTTCAATCCCGGAGGCTGGATTGAAGATTGAACATTGAAGGCTGGGAAAAAAAAATCTTTTGAAAATTGAAGATTGAAGGCTGGGAAAAAACTTCTTCAATCCAGGAGGCTGGATTGAAGATTGAAGGCTGGGAAAAAACTTCTTCAATCCAGGAGGCTGGATTGAAGATTGAAGATTGAAGGCTGGGGAAAAAAAAAAACTTTTGAAAATTGAAGATTGAAGGCTGGGAAAAAACTTCTTCAATCCAGGAGGCTGGATTGAAGATTGAAGATTGAAGGCTGGGGAAAAACGTCTTGTGAAAATTGAAGATTGAAGGCTGGGAAAAAACTTCTTCAATCCAGGAGGCTGGATTGAAGATTGAAGATTGAAGGCTGGGAAAAAATTCTTCAATCCAGGAGGCTGGATTGAAGATTGAAGATTGAAGGCTGGGAAAAGACTTCTTTTGAAAATTGAAGATTGAAGGCTGGGAAAAAACTTCTTCAATCCAGGAGGCTGGATTGAAGATTGAAGATTGAAGGCTGGGAAAAAACTTCTTCAATCCAGGAGGCTGGATTGAAGATTGAACATTGAAGGCGGGGAAGAAAACTTCTTGTGAAAATTGAAGATTGAAGGCTGGGAAAAAACTTCTTCAATCCAGGAGGCTGGATTGAAGATTGAAGATTGAAGGCTGGGAAAAAACGTCTTTTGAAATTGAAGATTGAAGGCTGGGAAAAAACTTCTTTTGAAAATTGAAGATTGAAGGCTGGGAAAAAACTTCTTCAATCCAGCCTCAATGAAGATTGAAGATGGAAGGCTGGGGAAAAACGTCTTGTGAAAATTGAAGATTGAAGGCTGGGAAAAAACTTCTTCAATCCAGGAGGCTGGATTGAAGATTGAAGATTGAAGGCTGGGAAAAAACTTCTTTTGAAAATTGAAGATTGAAGGCTGGGCAAAATCTTCTTCAATCCAGGAGGCTGGATTGAAGATTGAAGATTGAAGGCTGGGGCAAAAACTTCTTCAATCCAGGAGGCTGGATTGAAGATTGAACATTGAAGGCTGGGAAAAGACTTCTTTTGAAAATTGAAGATTGAAGGCTGGGAAAAAACTTCTTCAATCCAGGAGGCTGGATTGAAGATTGAAGATTGAAGGCTGGGAAAAGACTTCTTTTGAAAATTGAAGATTGAAGGCTGGGAAAAAACTTCTTCAATCCAGGAGGCTGGATTGAAGATTGAAGATTGAAGGCGGGGAAAAAACTTCTTTTGAAAATTGAAGATTGAAGGCTGGGAAAAAACTTCTTCAATCCAGGAGGCTGGATTGAAGATTGAACATTGAAGGCGGGGAAGAAAACTTCTTGTGAAAATTGAAGATTGAAGGCTGGGAAAAAACTTCTTCAATCCAGGAGGCTGGATTGAAGATTGAAGATTGAAGGCGGGGAAAAAAACTTCTTTTGAAAATTGAAGATTGAAGGCTGGGAAAAATATTCTTTTGAAAATTGAAGATTGAAGGCTGGGAAAAAACTCCTTCAATCCAGGAGGCTGGACTGAAGATTGAAGGCTGGGGAAAAAAACATATTCAATCTTCAATCTTCAATTCAGGACTCTGGATTGAAGAAGTTTTTTTCAGGTCCTCAATTTGCATTTTTTGATCCGAAACAAAACCAGCTGAAAGCAATGTTCCGGTAAGGGCATCCTCTACATGAAAAGAGCCTCAACTTTCGGCCTTTTCCCCAAACCTGAAAAAAGGCAGTGAAAACACTGTAAATGATTTTGCCGCAAAAGACTATCAAACATGAATATGTCTTTTCAAAAAGTAATTCGAGTTGACAAGTGCAGGCTTTACAAACAGACACTTTCATTCAAAAGGTATAGCATTTGCTAAGCAAAAAGAGTATGAGTATTCCGTTTCAATAGGTAGCATTCCTTTGCAGAAAGAGACTTTTCTTGAAAAGATCGCTCTTCATTTTGATCAGGTAGTGTTTATTCCCAATATGTAAATATGCATTGCTTAGTTTGAAACATGAGCACAGACCCATTTCATAACGTACACCTTTACAATAAGGAAGAAACATGTTACACAAAAAGTTCCTGCAACAGGCATCTTTCAATCAAATGCAGTATCTATTCAAACAACAAACTATATTCAAAAATGTAGCCATTACTTTGAAGAACATGCATGCTTTTCTCCAAGCAAAGCAACACAATATTTATTGGGAAATTACTACTACATTGTGCTTTCTAGAGTCAGTATTGCAATCATGTTTTGATAGTAATAGTGCATGCTTGGAATATAAAAAATGTGAGCCGTCTTTTTGTTTAAACAAAAAACCTCACAAATGTTACCTCTGTGAAATTAACATTGCCCCTTCTGAAGAAAAGTGACTTAGTCAACGCAGCATTCCTTGATAACAGTATATAATGTATTTGGAAAAGAGTTGAAGTGTAGCATTACTTTTTTGCAATGTTCCATTGTAAAGAGCGATTCATTCCTTACATGGTGGAGCATTCCTTCAAGAAAATGCAACATTGTTTTTGCATAGAATGCCCCAATAGATGCAGCAGTGCTTAAAATGGATGCAGCACTCTGTATTCTAAAAGAAGTGTAGAAGCGTAGCATCACTTTTTGCAAAAAATCATTGAGTAGACGAGTAACACATTTCTGGAACATAGAGGGTGTAGCATTCCTTGAGAAAGGAATCCTTTGAGTACTCATTTTAGACAATGATTATGGTATTCCTTCAAGAAAATGTTGGTGCAAGTATGTGAAAAGCCTCCTTCACAAGAGAGCGAACCAGTTGATTGAAATTCATGCAGTAATACAAATAAAAACATTGCTATGAAGTAGAACCCTTGGGGTGTATGTAGTATTTTTTGAAAGAAACTTGTCATGGTTGTATGTGTGCAATATACCCTTCCATACGAATGAAACATCTCAACAAAAAAAACATCATTATTTTGAAGAAGTGACGTTTTTCCTTTCAAAACAAATGTCATGCAAAGAATCCAGAGGAAGTCTGAACTCTATTAAAAGGCGTATTTCCTCTTTCCACATATTGTATGTTTCTGCAAGAATACTGCTTCTTACTTGAGGGAAGACCTTATCTTCAGAGCAATTGTTTTGAAGAAGTTAAGTCTTTCCTGAAAAAATGGTCATACAAGAAACACACTAGGAAGGCTGAGCTTCATTAAAGGTTGTATTGCATTTTTCCACATATTGTATGGTTCTGCAGGAATACTGCTTCTTACATGAGGAAATATCATCAAGGCAGATTGTAACCTGTATGCAGCACGTTCCTTTAACAACCATATTTTTCCAGGAATGAAGCAAGTTGCGTCGACCATTGCACTTTTCGACAGCAATACTGAATATTAATCGCACACTGCACATTGTGTAGAAGCATTTTTTCCAAACAAACGTTCCTTGGCACATCAATATGCATCTGAATCTTCTGCGCAGTGGGTTTCGGAGGGTGGTGGCATATATATATATATACTATATATTGTATATATAGACATATAGATATATCTGTATATCTGTATATCTGTATAGATGTATACATGTATATATTTATATATTTATATATGCATATATGTATATATGTATATATTATATTCACATGCATTTCAAATTTCAAAACATGGATACGCTGCATCTCTGAATTATTGTTACACATGATCATCTGATAATCGATATTCCACTTTGGGATTACAGCTGGTACGCAGACAAGGCTTACCCAGGCAAACCCATGATTCTTGACTTTAGGTCGAGCTGCTTGTGTCACAAGTAACTCCTCCTTCTTCTTCTCCTCCTCCTTGATTATCATCCCCATCATCACATGCATAAGACAAACATCATCAACATAACACTCATAATCCTGAACTCCTCATAAATAAGTCGCAACTGCCACGCCAAAAAAAAGCCCTGGCTCCTTTCGATCATACCATCCTCCACTCTCTGGATATGCCCTGGCATCAATCATTTGACGCAAAATCTCGATTGGAGGCTGCGCGCCATACGTCTCCTGCCGGATCGCAGCTGGCCCTCAAAAAAAAAAAATACAGGGGGCCAAAGGATAGCTAAGTTGTTTTATTTGCCTAGGTTCCCGACGGTTAATGGTAGATATATCGAACTGCTTAATGAAGATTTTAAATCAAAATATAAGTGTAGGGGCCAACCTTGTATAACATAGAAAAATCTAGGTTCTGAAAAAATTGGTACCCCCCCAATTCTGAAGAATTATATATCATTGTATATAATTATATTTGTTCAAATCAAATTGTGGGTCTCCATTTTCAGAATATAGTTTCCTCAAATGCTGGAACCAGCAATTAGCAGAGAAACAATGACCGGTATAGCAAACCGTAGAGATTAGCCTGCAGAAACAAAATCATCAGGGAGTAAATGGTAAGATCAAGCTATATACTTTGTATCTTTGTGAAGATGTGCAGCAAACAAAACAACACAACAACAGTGATTCCTTCGCTGCATGAATAATCCCATGAAAATGGCAGAAACTCAATGACGTACCCAGCCAAGGATTACTCAAATATTGACATACAAGGTTGTACAGTTGGGCACATAGACAAGACGCACACAAAAAACACAGCCAAGCATTGATGTTCAATAGGCAACATCTATATGCATGTATATATATATATATTCATTTAATATTTTTTAAAGTCTAATGCATAGAGACATATATGCATAAATATATAAATATGTATACGTATTAATTATAGGTATATATATATATATGTGTGTGTAAACATGTCACCTTCCTTTCAAGGCTCACGGACTAAGGTGAATGTATCTCGCCGCTCCGCCTTGTTGGGCATGTTCAGATCATCGACCATCAGAACACAAAGCTTCCCGAAAGGTGGGCCGTAGACACCTGCGTTGTCCGTTTTCGATCGATTTTCGCTGTGCGAGGTTCCCATGTTACAGCAGCGTGTGAACTTAAAAAAAAAAACAACACTGACTTCTAGGGGTTCAAAAAAGGTTCGAATCAGTTTCTGATGTTTGCCATTTATCACAGCCTTCGGATTTTAGTGATCCTGCTGTGAATTCTGTTGATTTTCATCCCGGAAGTGACAGGCTCTATGCTAAACTTGCGATGTCAACCATTTCCGGAGCTTTATGGCATTGGCTCTATACAGTAAAACCAGGAGGCCAGCCACCTTACCCGAGTTTGCCCTCTGGTTGAAGCTTGCTATGGAAGCCATGGCCCATCTATAGATGATTAACATTATGATTTACCAATTAAACATGATTTTTGTTATGATATGATTTTCCATGATTTCCCCCTTCGCAAATCATCTGAGGATTTTTGTCGTAACTTACCGCTGCGTTTCTATATATACCGTTCACCTGAGTGATCTGCCGTGCCTTTCCGACGACGGTCCAACTTGGCATCAATCAGGTCCTGCGTCTGCGCGCACTTCGTCTGGGCAGAGAAGCCCATCATGATCTGCGTGAAGCTTTCCTGCGCGAGACTTCGGATGTCAGGCTTTCGCTCTTAGAAAAAGAAACAAACACATATGGAGATGTAATTTGGAGTGTTTCAATGGTTTCTTCAGTTTCTTCATAATCATTCCTATATACAATATGGCAAATAAATGCAAATAATAAGCCATCCCCAAATTCGGTAAAAGTGGGTGCGATGTTTACCATCCCCAAATGATAGGTGCTATTAATCAGCGTGTCCCACATGATTAATGATATCCCTGTCTGAGATGATGCTTTTGTAAAGTGTTTATCCATGTCACCGGAATGTTTCACATCTGGCAACCCCCATGGAGATAGAAAAGGCATTTAGAATTACTCTCTCATTGAGTGGGTTGGCTTACATGTTTTTACCAACTTCTGGGGATTACTATGCTACTTTTTACAGATCTTGCGTCAGAGTTTCCAAATCACCCCCGACCACAGTTAGCGTTAGCATGCTGAAATAGCTAGCTTGTTGGGATGACCAATGGTCAAGAACTGGCTGATTCAACCGTTACCCTCTGGTAAATTAACATAGACCCTGAAAATAGCCTAGTTTTAATGGAAACTAATCTTCCAACCCTATCTGCCAGGGTCTATGTTAATTTACTGGAGGGTAAGTGGTTCGGCAATGCACCATCCGTGAGCAAAGCGGTCATGGAAGCCAGGTCAGCAAGGTCCAATTTTTTTGGGCAGCACCCAGCATCACCGGGAAAATGGAACTCGGCAGCATACCCTTCGTAGCCGACACTTGAGTAGGAGAAAATGCTTGTATCATTCCTTGTATGCCTGAACATGTACATGAAAGAAGGTACCAACCATTATATACCCCACCTATCAATCATAGCATCCACTATCAACCTACCCTTCATCAAGGCATACCTAGCATCACCATGACAAGCCAGCAGCCTGTCCTTCGACAAACTCATGAGGTTCTGCTGCATGTACGCCGTCCTCGGTGTCCCAACCTTTGAGTCAAATCTAAGCCACAAGCCCCAACAAAAATAGACAGGTCAAACCCTAAAATTATATACTACTATCTGATAACCTATGTTGTGTAAATAATGAACACTTATGATATATGACTGATCTATCTTTTCGGGTGACTATCTCTACAATGCTCTTGATATGGTTCATTCGTAAATGGAGCAAAACTGCAAGAGCCCTACTGGAAGCCTGGGACAACTATATGATAGAGACCATCTATCAATTTAAGAAAGTAATCGGAAGAAAAAACAAAACAATTATAATATAAATAACAAAAAACATATGTTTCCCAGACCCTGAAAAATCCCTAAGACAATCATTTCAAACTTATCGAAACATTTGCGGATTCCCAACAGAAGCGCCAAGCTGCTTACCGGTGCCGGTGGGACCGCAAAAGAGCAACTTGATACGGTGCTTGATGCAATGCTGCAGGACATATCCTGGGTCAAACATGGCGCAGGCTGGAAAATGATCCACAAAGTTTGATATATAGGATGCTCAGTTGCCATGTTTGACTCTGTTTGACCACCAGGGAGTACACAAGTTGATCAAAAACTATCAGGTGACGAAATGGGTTAGCCGATAAGTGAAGTTCACCACATTTACAGGTATCCAAGTCAAAGGCTAGCTAGCAGCTAGCGTAAGCTAAACATATGTAAAGTCTATGTAAGGTCATTCTAAGGCCCATGCATTGGAGGTACCCAGTAAACACAAATAACCCCACATATTTGTAGAAAATTGGTTGCTCCCCCAGCATGTTTGCAGCCCATTTGTATGGATTGCCTTGAAGGCCAAACTGTGTTCCTCGCTGATCACAAGTGTCACGCCCGTATACAATGCTACGAATTCATTGCTTCTGCCAATACTGGGCATCTACCCTGGTCATTCTGAAGATAAAAAAACGGGTTTCAAGTTGGGATAAAATGTAGGGGTCCCCAAAAGGATTAACATTTTTCCAGGATGTTATAGACAATAGTTTCCATATAATGTCCAATTGTCCAATTTTGTGTTTTAAGGTGGTGCTATGTGTGGTTTCAAGAAACTTCCATGGTTTACATAGATTTCTTGGAACATGCGCCAGGAATACACCCAACTAATCCCAGCTATTTGGTTCAGGCTAAACCATGCGCCAAGTCACCATACCTCACACTGTCCAAGGTCTGTACGATGATGGATTCCACAGCAGATCCCGCCTGAGTCAGTTTGGTATGTGGATTTTTCCAGAGCCTCGGGTGCCTTTCACCTTCCCAGGAGCTGGTGCGGGAAAATTTTGGAAACTGTTTCGACAAGTAAAATGAACTGATGGTCAAAATTATCATAGTATTCAAAACTAAGTTTCCTGCGCATTATGCCTTGCACCCTGTAGTAACTCCATGCAATTCCCCCAAAAACGTCCCATTCCAATACCAACAGAAGCACCGTGTTCGTTCCTCACCAATGCCCATGTGTGGCAACTACGCTGCAGGAATCTATTTTATATATATATATATATTTCTATCTATTTAAATGTAGATAAATATATCAAATTATATCCCTGTTGAGTGTGTTGGTAGACATATGCAGACATCCCCATGGATAAGAAAGAGCTTGACTCATTCACGCACCAATCAATACCATCTAAGGTTTGCCAAGCTAAAATCACCAATACCAGTAGTACCGCAGAAACCGGTGGCGGAAGTCTCAAAAATAGGAAACCAATAGGAGATAATAGGAGAGGTGTGTTGTTGTGATGCATGGAAGGCATTGCGAACCCACTGGTGGACCGAAAGGTGGCTGGGGCTCTGAGCCTCTTTTTTTCTAAACGGTTCCTTAGTCTCTCTTTTCATTTTTCTTTATCTATCTGTCTTTCTGTTTACAGCTTGAGTACTGTATAAGAATGCACTGTATAAGAACTTGAGGGGCCCGGATCCAAGGCGGGTCACATATTTTCAGCTATACCAAGCACATAATACTTTAAGAATTTAAGGAACCCTGGAATAGGATTGCCAAATTCTGAAAATTACTGCTTATACGTGAGGTTTGCAATTCCCTTTTGCGCTTCTTTTTTTTGTGGAGTGACCCCTTTTCGTCTTACGGGATGAAATAAATTACTTTACTTCGAGTTATCCCCACCATGACATCTATACGTTTTGTTACTGGCAAATCTTTTGGCATTCTATCTGACATATCTTCTGGCATTTTATCTGGCATATCTTCTGGCATTCTATCTGGCAAATCTTCTGGCACTTTATCTGGCATACCTTCTGGCATTCTATCTGACATTCTATCTGGCATACCTTCTGGCATTCTATCTGGCATATCTTCTGGCAGTCTATCTGGCAAACATTCGGGCATTTTATCTGGCATATCTTCTGGCATTCTATCTGGCATTCTATCTGGCAAATCTTCTGGCATATGTTCTGGCAAACATTCTGGCACTTTATCTGGCATACCTTCTGGCATTCTATCTGACATTCTATTTGGCATACCTTCTGGCATTATATCTGGCATATCTTCTGGCATTTTATCTGGCATATCTTCTGGCTTCTATCTGACATACTATCTGGCGTTCTATCTGGCCGTTGAGGTCCAGCGGTGCTCACTGAGCTCGGAGGGTCCCAGGTTGAGGTGCTCACTGAGCTCGGAGGGTCCCAGGTTGAGGTCCAGCGGTGCTCACTGAGCTCGGACGGTCCCAGGTTGAGGTCCAGCGGTCAGGTTGAGGTCCAGCGGTGCCCAGTGCGCTCAGACCCTTGCAGTTGAGGTCCAGTGTTTAGTGCGTGCGGAAGTTGGCGAAGAGCTTGGCGAAGAGTTGGCAAGGCGGAAGTGGACATGGAAGTGGAGGCAGAGGTGGTGGAGGAGAACGAGGAGGAGGAGGAGAAGAAGGAGGAGGAGGAGGAGAAGAACAACTCTGATAAAATCTAACAACCCTCACCTGGCAGGTGGGGAACAATTTTTCAAACCCCGAAAAAATGTTTTTTTTTTTTCGCGCATGCTTGGACTGCTTCCAATCCACTCAAAATCTATATGTGGATAGACTTGGAAACCTGAAATATATTTAACCTGCCAGGTGAGGGTTGTTAGATTTTATCAGAGTTGTTCTTCTCCCCTTTCTCCTCCTCCTTCTTCTCCTCCTCCTCGTTCTCCTCCACCAACTCTGCCTCCACTTCCATGTCCACTTCCGCCTTGCCAACTCTTCGCCAAGCTCTTCGCCATCTTCCGCACGCAGTGGCCACAGCTGGACCTCAACTGCAAGGGTCTGAGCGCACTGGGCACCGCTGGACCTCAACCTGGGACCGTCCCAGCTCAGTGAGCACCGCTGGACCTCAACCTGGGACCCTCCGAGCTCAGTGAGCACGGCTGGACCTCAACCTGGGACCCTCCGAGCTCAGTGAGCACGGCTGGACCTCAACCTGGGACTCTCCGAGCTCAGTGAGCACCGCTGGACCTCAACGGCCAGATAGAATGCCAGAAGATATGCCAGATAGTATGCCAGATAGAAGCCAGAAGATATGCCAGATAAAATGCCCGAATGTTTGCCAGATAGACTGCCAGAAGATATGCCAGATAGAATGCCAGAAGGTATGCCAGATAGAATGTCAGATAGAATGCCAGAAGATATGCCAGATAAAGTGACAGAATGTTTGCCAGATAGAACGCCTGAAGATTTGCCAGATAGAATGCCAGATAGAATGTCAGAAGATATGCCAGAAGATATGCCAGAACATATGCCAGAAGATATGCCAGGTAGAATGCCAGAAGATATGCCAGATAAAATGCCAGAAGATATGCCAGATAAAATGCCAGAAGATATGCCAGATAAAATGCCAGAAGGTATGCCAAATAGAATGTCAGATAGAATGCCAGAAGGTATGCCAGATAAAGTGCCAGAATGTTTGCCAGAAGATTTGCCAGATAGAATGCCAGAAGATATGTCAGATAGAATGCCAGAAGATTTGCCAGTAACAAAACGTATAGATGTCATGGTGGGGATAACTCGAAGTAAAGTAATTACATCTATCTATATCTATCTATATATTTATAAATAAAGACATATACATATATATATATATGTTTTATCTCTCTCTATATGTCTATCTATATATCTACCTACCTCTCTATGTATCTATGTATCTATGTATCTATCTATCTATCTATCTATCTATCTATCTATCTAACAATCTATCTCTTTCTCTCACTATTTATCTAGTTCTTTGTCCAGTATATGTCTCCCTGACCATCTCGCCCAATCCCTGTATCTCTCTTTTTCTCTGTCTCTCTCTCTGTCTCTCTCTCTCTCTCTATCCCTCCCTATCTTTCTACCTATCTATCTGTCTGTCCGTCTATCTACCTATCTCGCTATATCTCTATATCTCTGTTTCTCTCTCTATCTCTATCTGTATCTCCATCTCCATCTTTAACTCTATCTCAAACTCTTTCTCAACTTCCGAAACTGGTTCGAGACCGTCAGGTTTCAACACTATTGGCTTGCGAATGTGCTTCGTGCCACAGCGGCTTGCCCTTATTCCACATCTCAACGTCCAAAAGTGGTCCGAGACCGTCAGTTTTGAACACTATTGACCTGCGAACGTGCTTCGCGCCTCAACGGTGTGCACCTTTTGAGTACCTCAACGTCCAAAAGGAAAAGGTGCTTCGTTGGATCCCGCACCCCGCCGCTTTAGCAGGCCTACTCTTTGACCCTCCAGAGCCGCCAAACATTGGAAAAACACAGTGTTTCACGACTTTTCTACCTTTTCGTGCGCTTTGATCTTATTTCTTCTGACTCTTTCTATTCTCTGACTTCTTCTCTTCTGACTCTTTCTCTTCTCTGTCTCTGCCCACCTGTGCTGCTTCATGTGTTCACATTGTCGGAAATTTGACTTCGAAACTTCCCTCGGTCATTTAGTATCTATAGGCTATAGGTCCAAAAATCTAAAGATGCCATATCCTGTTTTTGTTTGTTTCACAGTTTGAGACCTGGAAAACGCCTTTGGACACCTTTTAACTCCCCAAAAAAAAGGCCATCGAATTGAAGGCCATGGCTTCATCGCTTCCCGGAAGATCCGGCGCTTGTCGAGTGACTTTAATCGTCTGCGGCTCGACCGTGTCCATCCAGCCGATCCATTTGAGTTCCTGGAAAGAAATCCAAAGATATTGGTGAAAGAAAGGTAAAAACATGTAAACACCACTTTAGAATGTACAACTATAATTTAAAGTGGAACTGGTTCATTTTTCGGATATTCCGAATGATTCCCTATCTATCATCATGCAGTTTGGAACCTTGATTCGTAGCTTCTTAGTTCCCCATCGTTAGAAATATGGATGCAAGCATAGCTCCTATCAGCTAGGGCTTGGTGCAGCTACTGCAACCTCAAAGTCAATGGGGATCATCTCAGAAATGGCTTGCGACCGTTGCAACACCCGCAAAGATGCAACTACTCCCAGTTGCAACTATCATTTACCGGTGGGATACCGGTGGGCTGGAGCAACCCTGTATGAATTTTTGTGCTTCCCACAAAAATAAACCTCGAGAATGGTTTTAGGCAAATCACTAAGAAATAACTTCATGGATCTCAAAACCAGCCAAGGTTATGATTTGTCGGCTAGTTATCACCAACCAGGCATAACCGGGGAACCTCCAGTATTGTTATCCTGGCTGACCTTCAACAGCGATTTGATAGCCCCCAAAGAAAGGATTTCAGCTCTAAAACTGATTTGAGTTTTAATATACCTTGCACAGGCCCAAGTACAATGATTCCATCTTTTTCCGTTTTTAAACCACGCAACAAGGCAATACAACTTGAAACCAAAATTTTAGGAAGCAAACATGTGTCAAGTGTATTTTCAATCATCCTCTGGCAAACATGGCTTGCCGAAAGATCCCCCATTTAGATCCATTTAGTGGGCATACTTCCCAGCGATGTTTGATGATGCCGGACGGCAATGGGGATGCTGAACCTGCCTCTGCATTGAAGACCCAGTCGAACACGGAGCCGCGTTCTGGAAACTCGGGGCTCAACTTTTTGTGCGCCGTCATGCCTTCCACCTTGTTCTGCCTCAGTGTGGGCTTGCTGCGGCGTGATTTTTAGGATCAAGGGCTGGAAAGAAATCTTAAAACATGTTGAAAATTAATGTGGTATATCCAAGCTGAAATCCCCTTATTGATCCTATGCTTGAACACACAGGGTGATCAACGTCTGAAGTTGTAAGCCATCTATATAATGTCAATATATGATTATCGAATCTCTAATCCCAGCTCCCTAATATTGAACAAGCTTTAAATGGTCGCAAATATGTGTAAATCGCCTACTAAACCATGGTTACGGGGCATGTTTATATGTGGGCTGTATCTTATGGCTATATGTTTTTGCGGCTAACCTCTCTTTCTTGGTTTATGGCCAACCTCCTGTACCCTTTCGTAGTATAGACTGCACTTTTCAGAAAACATGGTTATCCAATGAAGGAACCCATGAACAAGCTAATCATTTCTCCATCTCTATAGGGGCGGAAAGGAGTTATTATTCCACTATTCTTCCCTTGATTCCCCGTAGTGTTAAATTTAAATACCTTATTCAAAACGAAACCCTGCTTTAGTATGGGATCTAGTCATGAATTGCATCCACTATTGAGCTCACCTCTGGCGTTCCGTTTAGAATTTTGCTCAATTTCATGTACCCCTCAGCCGGGGTTGTGGCTAGTGGTTGTGCCATGTATACAAGTGGTAGCCTATAAATAGGCCACATCTGATTTCATCAATGCGTTTTTGTTTAAAGTTATCTGACATGAAAACATGTACCATTGGGCCTGCCACATCGCATGTCCCTTGGGTAATCAGCTTACCCTTGGATGCCCGGCATTTAAAAAAAGTACATTGACCTGGGTACGTTTTCCGTAGTCTATGGCTAAACGAGTGCCCTCTGTAGCAACCCCCAAACAAGATAGAACAGGAATTTGTTACTATTTCAGCAGGATTTTAACTTTTCTACAAGATGACCACCCCCGGCGATGTTTGTGCGTTTACAAACTCACCTAAACTGCAGCTCGTTTTCTCCTCCTACCGAACCCAACAGTTCATCAAGTTCTGTGCGCCAACCTGGCTATTTAGGGGGCCTCACGTTGAATATATACCACTATATCATGCTATATCCCATTATGCCCTACTTTTTTTTGCCAGGGCTTCTCAGAGGATTTGCCATTATACCCTACTACATCCCAAAATAATCCTATAATGTTGGTAAAACAATCATAAACCATCCCCCAAATCACCAGAAATAGGTGGCACAAACCATTTACAAATTGGTGGTTTATGGCATTCTTTTACCCACATTGTATACGTGCTATATACCATCTGGTTATTTAACATAGCCATGGAAAATCACAATTTTTAATAGGTAAGCCATCTAGAAATGGGCCATTTCCCATGGCTATGTTAAATAACCAGAGGGCATATAATCCATCATTATCCCATGGTCCCACACATTGACCCAATGCCTCCCGTAGCGATGCAAAAAGCAAGGGGCAGCATTTGTCGCAGGTAGGCGCTGAAGTCGGGCCGACTGTTGGTCTGCAAGACGCAGCCGACGGACCACACTAAGCTAAAGACCTGGGACAAGGCAGGCCACTGGGTACCATTTGGTTATGACTAACATAACCATGGTATAGATGGCCCATAGAAACAGATTGTTTACCTATTAATAGCATGGTGATTTTCTACGGCTACGCTAAAGAATCAGAGGGTACATGGAAAAAGGGTCGAAAACCACTGGACACCATGTTTTCCTTGTTATCTATAAACGAATAAATAAATAAAATGATGGTGAAAACACACAAGGAACGTGGATTTACACATTGGGGTGCAAGTCACTTGGAGTCTTCCCTGAAGAATTTGAGATTGTGCTAAGCATGAATCCATGATATATGGCTTGAGAATTTGAAGACCTTGGACCCCATGGATGACTGGGAGTTTCAGAGCTATTTATAGAATCAAATCGCCCAATCCTTTCACACAAACAAAAAATAAAGAAACAAAAAAAAAAAAACATGTTGTGGCTGGATAAATTACATCCCCATTGGCCATTGATGGCAAAACAACCTACCCGACCAGGTCTTTCCCAGCATACTGGTAGGTGGTTGAGTCAGTGGAAGATTACCATCCTAGACTCGGGGGCGGGGGGTGGGATATCAAACACTACCAGCAACACAGAATGGCACAGAACGACCATCCAGTTTGAGGCAAGTGGGCTATGTGGAAGAACTTACAAGTACTATCAGTGTTCATGCCTCACCAACATACCGCAACACGTCAAACTGGAGTTTCACCAAAAAAATCATTCTTTTTAGGCATCGCATCCCAAACTCATTACAGGCAGTTCTGGGTGGTTTTTGAACCCCCGGCAGAAAAAAAAACAAACAAACATGGTTTAGTTTCACCACATGAACTATTTCGATAGTTCCATACATTTACAATAAACCATACTCACCCTCTGATTGTTTAACAATATATATACAGGGTTGAACTTTTTGATCCTGTCATAGTTGACTTAAACCCATGTATCTATGCATGCTGTCTTAGGACCAAAGAATACACAATGCAAAGTCACCACATCAAACTTAATCCGTTGCTGATGAGTCGCAGCCGTATCTCATGCGTACCTTTTTTCTTATTGTGTTGGTGGCCGATCTTTCTTTCATGAGTCTATTAACATGTTCATATTTACCTTCACCTATATCTCAATAGTGTCATTTTCTCAAGCCGAAATTCTGTGAGCATCATTCTAATTAGCATTGCCGTGTCCCGTTATTCGCTTCATTGTCAATGAAAGCAAATCTATAATTCTCTGCACGGCAACAGTCGGCATATTTCTGGGCCTCTCCGACTCTCCGACGTTCCAGTTCCTCCGGAACCTTTTAGCAATTGCCCAAAGAAAATCATCTCTTAGGACCTTATAAGAGTCTACACAATGGTTGAGAGCATAAGCACTCCTGAAAAATACTTTGGCTCGCGCAATCTCTGCGGTGACATTGAAATTACACATTATATTTTGATAGACATTCTGATATATAGTTTGTCTTTTTTCTGACGCCTTTTCTGACTTGGGTACCTGCCTTCGATTCGCTAATAATGCTGTGAAGTTTTCATTCATATAAATTCAAGCATGCAGTCTTAGGTATCAAACACTCAATCCAACATTCTGATTGACAAAATTGTTCAGATTCTATGTGACGTAAATCCTGGCATTCTGGCATTTCATCCGACGGTTCATCTGGCATATATTTTGTAAATCTGGGTTTCGCTGCTTGGCATTGTCTGATGCATGTTGGTCTGGACAGCCGCGAGACCTGCCTTACTCGCGCAAATATCAGAGACTTGGCAAGCCTGCTATATAACAGCAGCAGCTGCTGCTGTTCGACTATGGCAAGGCAAGAATGACAAGGCATCCAAGGTGGAGGATGAGGATGCAGAGGAAAAGCAAGACGACATGAAATAAGGTCAAGAGACCGCGGCCTTTCACACAACCTTTGGCTTCGCGCGGCACCTTTTCTTTTTTTCGAGACATGGCTCGGACAGCTCCTTGGACACGTTTCTAACGGCCTTGTCCAAATAAGTTTTGGGACTTTCGTGAAGACCTTGGTTTCTTTTCAAGGCATAGGTGTAGAATCAAGACATTTTTCAGACATTAACTGCTCTTCTGCAATGGCCTTTGCTTTGCCCTCAAAATTTGCTTTCTCAAAGCAAGCTTGATTCGGTAGAGATCGATGCAAAGCGCTGCGCGCACCAGGTAAATACCAAAACATGTGCAGGGCAAACGCAGTTAGTTCAAGTTAACGTGGTCGCCTTCTACTTGCGCTGAAAGCATCTTGTAGCAAGCAGCAAAGGAAGAAGCCTATACCAAAGGTGGCGGTGCTTTGCCCGATGAAGGCTTGCCACTGTTCATGCCGGTAGGCGACCCCATGCTTTGTCATTGCTCCATGACAGGTGAGACAACAGGCCACGACTGTTGTGCGCCAGCTTTAAGACAAGCGCATGCCAATAACATCTCCTCTCTTGTGTGGCTGCAAGCTCTCATCTCTTTTAAAGAAGAAGACTGAGAACAGCCAGCCGCCAGCCAGCCAATGAAACCCAAAACTTGGGTGATGGGGACTCAACCATGGCATTGCTAGGTGCTCTGGTATCTTTCACAGTACAGAACGATATGCGATGGAAGATCTTTGGCTTCAACTACTCGCGGTCTAGAAGGTTTGAGAATGACAATTTAACCGTTTCCCATTTAACAAGTAAGCTCCCAGGCGACATTCGAAATCTTGTTCCTGTTGGTCGAGGAGAGCCACAAGGTGGCGCCCCCCACTTTTAAGTAGTTGGTTTACAACTCCCAGTACCTACCTACAGATATATGTATCATACACCCTACTGTTTAGAGTTATGAACCATCTTTGTGTAACTATGGGGCGCCACTTTGCAGGTGTTGAAAAGAATCGATCCGCAACAAGCTTACGCGCCTCTGACCGACACCGCAAGGCTTCGATGAAGCCCAAAAGGCCACGCGCTATTAGGCTTGGGCACTATTACTGCGCCGAACCCTTAAGGGGTATGAATTTTCCATTTTGTGTAGCCCCCTCTGGTGGCATCAACGCAGCCCTTCCAGGCAACTTGGGAGGAAAAGCCCAACCAACTGGATTTGCCAAAGCGAGCCCATGGGTTTCTCACCCGGCGTGTGCCTTTGCGCCAGGCCCGAAAGTCAGCGACTTGACAGTGCGGACCATGGGCGGCGCATTGTTTTTCAGGCATGAAAAGGCCGTTCTTTGGGTTCCCAGCCTTCCAGAAAGGTATTTTCAAAGCGGGCGCTTTGAAGAGCAAACCTCGTTTCAAAGCGGACGCTTTGAAGCCCAAACCTCCCTAAACCTTGCCATTTAGTGAGCATGCGCAAAGTGATTTTCAAATAGGCAGTCACAGGATGAAAACATAGTGTCATTTCTGGCCATTGAGATTCCATGCGGCAGGGGGTGGAAGGAAGATCGGGCCAATGGACAAGGAAGCTTTGTCGGATGCAACGGGCGATTGACGGCATCATCACTTGAAGGTGCGGGCAAGAGGGTGTGAAGAGCTGGTGCGACGCCCCGTGGTTATTACATACCTTTCATCTCCATCCAAAGTTGCCAAGGCAATAGCCATCCCGGCACAATGTGTGACCATCTGACTATATACTCCCAAGCGCTCAGATCGTTGCGATTTTCTTAAACTGAGTCTGTGCCTGTGGGAAAAGAACTTCAGGGGCTCGGTGCGAAACGGTGTGCCCTTGCAGAGTCGGCTCTTGATTGTGTTGAAGCCCGTGGCGCCGAAGGAAACATTACAGTGAAACTCAGCTCACTGAAAGGAAGCCAACATTGAACTCGCCATCAAAAAACATTGGTTTAAGTCAAAATCGGACGCAAAACAAAACGCAGAAAAGGTTAAACCCTGTATCTCAGGTATATATTTATATGGAAGCCATGGCCAATAGATGATCAACATGATGATTTAACTATTTATTTCAATGGTGATTTTCGAAAACGCGCAGAGTGCTATGCCATTCTTCCCGATGCTTCGAACATCGAGGGTCCACCACCGCGTCGATCATCATGATGTTCCTAGGCGGGCACGAATTTGCTGAAATAAATTTCGACATAACAACTGAATAAATAGATCATCGAAAGACATAGAACAAGAAGCGTTGCTATAATTATATGGTAATATGTACATATATAAATAACATTATTTTATATAATATTGATTATATGATTATATATTATGTTTATGTGTAATTTCGCAGATGAAGAAGACATACCAAGAGAAAACGCGTCGGTATACTACAAGTGTAGCCTTCATTGGCTGGCTGAGTCGTCCCCCCTTGGACATACGCAAGTAGGATCTGCCAAGTGCCAAGGATGACACAATTGAAATAGGCATTGTCAAATTGTATCATTTCTGGAGCCTTTGCCTGACGAAAAAAAACGTCTTGGCCTATGAATTTTGGATTGTGAGGCCACGTGTGATATGTGATCCACGGGTTTCTCTGTCAGTCACATGAGGCCAACAACAAATAGTGTTGCAAAACCGGGATGTTCAAAGTGTTCTCAAGTCATCTCAAGAACGGCTCTCACCATCTCGTGCCAAGTAAAACGGTTCTCGCTAAAAGGAGCTCCGATTCACCGGGGCTTACATCAGTCATCACCTCACAGCCAAGGTTCTTCTTGGCTTGCGCTTCATTGCCCTCGGTCTTCTTGTAGCCCTCTAGCTGCAGGTAGTCAGCCATATGCGACATCAACATGTTCATGAAGTTCCTCGCATGGGAGATGCTTTTCGGATGCTTAAAAGGGGAGCTTGGGGGAGCCTAGCCGCCAACAGAAAACCCAGGGTTGCATTGTCAATGATGAACCGATGGACTTTGAGGAACTCTACAATGTGAGGCCCCCCAGTGATGTTTGTTGGTTTATAAGCCCCAGTAACTATAGTTATAAGTACCATAAACCATAGTGACATTGGAGTTATAACCAACTTAGCTATCTTGGGGGCCTCACATGTACAGTATACAATTACAATAAAAACACCCGATAAAGCAACCCTGTCTGACTGAGAATCTCGGAGAGACAGCCGCAGGCTTCATTGATCTGGTTGCAACCCCATCTGCAAAGACTAAAGTGGCTGCTTAACTGCCATGGAATAGGAGAACCACACCCCGAAATCTAAGATCACATGTTTCACCAGAGTCTGTTGGTTGAAACCCTTTCTTGGTCCAAACAAATGTCATATGTCCATGGCCCGTGGCTGTTGATTGATGTCACTGTTTGTTGGTTTAATATGTTTGTCTGGTCAGGCAACCTTGACGTTCAATGAGTGATTTCGATCATGTCCCCGTTTCTAACACCCAAAAATCCCATCCTACTAGTCTGCGTGCAAACCCAGTGCAAGTTCACAAAAAAGAGGAAGCCGTGTCAAGTTCTGGCGCGTTGCGCTACTTGAAGGTAGCTACCAAGGGACCGCATCTCCCCATCCAAGGCCCAAAGACCGAGGGACTGCACCAGACTCTGATCTTGCGTAGGGGACACCTCGTGACACTCCTGGTGGGGTCGGCAGTTGGGTTGTGAGGATCCTCTGCAACTCAGTTGAGGAATGTTAAAGAGCTTATTGTCAATCTACTTACATTACATATATCATTGCACATTATACACGTATAATTGATATAATAAATATTTCATGATATAATATATTATTCTATATTTATCTACCATATGTCAATCTTCCAACATCTTCAAACCAAGCCAGCTATGGGAAGCCCCTCAGCCTCCCGGATATACTTGATGCACGGCTTGAAGAGCCAGCCCACCATGGCGCGAACCTCTGCAACCTGGCATGGCAGCCATGGCCTGTCGATTGGCTTTATAATTATACATATTACCCTCTAGTAATGACTAACATAGCTATTGAACATGATCATTTATACTTGATTCACCCATTAAAAATGGTGATTTTCCATAGTTATGTTAGTTTACCAGAGGGTATAACATATTTATGATCCCCATTAAAATGTGGATCTCCCCAAAAAAGCCAACAAAAACAAGGAACATGATGATGAACCGCAATATAGCAGTTCAATACCCTCTGGTAAGCTAACATAGCTATGGAAAGTCACTATTTTCAAGGTCAGTAAACCAATTAAGGAGATCGGCCAGTTTCAACGGCTATGTTGAATTACCAGAGGGTGCGCAGTTTGGGTATGCTGCCCAGAACATCAACGGGGATGAAGATTTAGATGTATTTTTTGAGGCGGAGCTACGGAGTATAGAATAGTCAGAATAGTGTAAGTGCGTATCATCCCCTTTATGGCAACAAACACTTGTTGAACCATTGAACCAAGACTTACCCTGCAATGTCAGTTCCCAAAGGAAACAACCATTACAAATTGAGGACCAAAACCCGATTTTATATTTTTGATAGTGCATTTATTTGGAGTTGGCAGTAATCTTTGATAACCCAGAAACAGAATTGCTGGGGTTTGTGGTTGGGCCACCGCCCTGCTATCCTATAGGTAGGATGGAAAATGACACGCTGCTTGGAAAGCACCGTTCTGTCATCGTATCCTCAAAAATCAGTGCTCAAAACCCACTTGGGTTACCACCCCAAAATCCATTTACCCGTCGTCATTTTCCTCCTAAAATTGCTGAAATCCACCGGTCGGTCATCATGGTATTGCCAGTTTGGGGTAGGCCATGGTAAACCCTTCTCTGGGCAAACCCACTCATTTACCATCTACTATCACTGGATTGATTTCAGGGATTTTTTACACGAAACCCCCATATTTCATGGGAAAATCTATGCTTTCCCCTAGGTTTCCCAAGAAAACCAATCCATGCACACTAACTTCAGGCACCCACTTCAAAAATCTTCAAAATATCTCCCAACACCCACTTTCAGCGCCTCTTCCTCGTCCAAAATCTCAGGCATCCCGCCCAAGAAATTCTTCTCCATCAAGGGGTCAATTCCTCAGCTGAGAAGATTCAGCACGGTGCCCCAAGTAGAAAACCACCCCTCCTGGTTGTGAACAAAAAGTACTGGATGTAATATGATGTATATAATTCAACATAATGATATTATAATGATTTTTATGGGGCCCACGTTCCAGAATTGTGCATCTCTCTCTCTCTCTCTCTGTATGTCTTTCTGTCTGCCTGCTTGCTTGCCTGGCTGCCTGCCTGGCTGGCTGGCTGTCTGTCTGTCTGTCTCTCTCACTCTCTCTCTCTCTGAGACTCTCTCTTCGCTCTTCAGAATTTTGCATATGGGGATTTAATTTGTTTCAACGCGATCCCAACTCTGAATCGAAACAGTTTTTGCTCATGTTTGACGTTTATCTAAAGTCTAAATAATGGCAATCATTCGCGGTTATGTCGTGAGGTCAGGTATCAAACCGGTTTTCATTGGCACCACTTGGTGAATTCAAAGGATTCTTTATTGCTTGGATACCCTCTGGTAAACTAATATAGCTATTGAAAATGGCCATAGAAATAGTGGATTTACCCATTAATAGCATGGTGATTTTCCATAGTTATGTGACAGTTTACCAGAGGGTAACAAATGGCGTGTCTGTCGTTTTTGTGCTATCCAATACGCCCTGCTTGAAAGTGCAAGCATTTTTCCCAACCGATGGGGCTTATTTCACCCTGGAAAAGCGCCCAGGGCAAAGCCGCCCATAAAGGCCTGCATTAAGAAGTAGGTAATATATCCCCATTATGTAAATTATATTAAATTATCCTACGGTTTATGGTAGATATATCTGTATGCCAACTATGGTTTATAAACCAACTTGTAACTGGGGGCACCATCATGCATTATGTAAATTATCTACATACCATTAAAGATCATGAAATATCCCAATGAAATCATCATGTTGAAACATGGTGAAACATTGTGAAACGTCCAATGTTTAGGTCCTTGATCCAACTTCACAAGTTCCAGCAAAAACGGAATCAGTTTCATTCAAGTAGCTAACATCATTCAGATTCCATATAAATTTCATGAAATCCCCATATATTGTTTTCCTTAACCAAACCACAGTGGTCGGACCGGTAACCGCAGGTCCGCCCGAGTTTCCCATCAAATGGGGTTCGAAGAAGACCATGCCGTTGCGGGAGATCGTGGCAGGCGAGGCCTGGAATGGATGGGTTGCTGGGGGTTGCTGGGATGATTAATCCCATAGGATCCATGGTGCTGCCAATGGTAACATTTACCATCAATATACCCCAAATGTTAGCATATATACCATACATGGATCCTATGGGAATAGTTAGCCAGTGGATCATTCCCGAAAATTCCCTAAGCACAAGATTAATGTACAGTAACTGGTTGGTGGTATACCTACCCCTCTGAAAAATGATGGAGTTCGTCAGTTGGGCAGGATTATTCCCAACTGAATAGAAAAACATGTTCCAAACCACCAACCAGGTAATGTCTGGTAAATATACAATCAATGTAATGAAGTATCTGTGTTTTTCCCCACCTGCCAGGTGAGGGTTGTTAGATTTTATGTCAGTTGCCTCCTCCTCCTCCTCCTGCTCCTCCTCCTCCTCCGCCTCCTCCTGCCTCGTCCTCCTCTCCTCCTCCTCCTCGTCCTCCTTGTCATCCTTGTCGTCCTCGTCGTCCTCGTCGTCCTCGTCGTCCTGGCTCAACTGCGACCCGCGATCCACAGTGTTCTCTGCCGGACCTCAACCACGACCACCCACGCCCAGTGTTCCCTGCCGGACCTCAACCACGACCATCCACGCCCAGTGTTCCCTGCCGGACCTCAACCACGACCATCCGCGCCCAGTGTTTCCTGCCGGACCTCAACCGCGAGTATCCACGCCAAGTGTTCCCTGCCGGACCTCATGTAGGAAGATATGGGACAAAGAATGTGCAGAAGAAAGTTAGAAAGAATGTCAGAAAGAATGTCAGAAGATATGCCAGAAGATATGCCAGATAGAATGCCAAATAGAATGCCAGATAGAATGCCAGAAGATATGTCAGAATATATGCCAGAAGATATGCCAGATAGAATGCCCGATAATATGCCAGAAGATATGCCAGATAGAATGCCAGATAGAATGCCAGAAGATTTGCCAGATAGAATGCCAGAAAATATGCCAGAAGATATGCCAGATAGATATGCCAGAAGATATGCCAGAAGATATGCCAGAAGATATGCCAGAATATATCCCAGAAGATATGTCAGATAGAATGCCAGAAGATATGTCAGAATATATGCCAGAAGATATGCCAGATAGAATGCCAGAAGATATGTCAGATAGAGTGCCAGAAGATATGCCAGATAGAATGCCAGAAGATTTGCCAGATAGAATGCCAGAAGATTTGCCAGAAGATATGCCAGATCATATGCCAGAAGATATGCCAGATAGAATGCCAAATAGAATGTCAGAAGATATGCCAGATAGAATGCCAGAAGATTTGCCAGTAAGAAAATGTATAAATGTCATGGTGGGGATCACACGAAGTAAAGTAATTTGTCTGGAAAGAGTACTGATAAACTTGGTAAAACCGACTATAATCTGATGAACACCTGGTAAATGTTGATCTATTGGGACAAACCAGGTAAATCTTCATGCCTGGAAATCCGATCATATCTGGTAAATGTACAGTAATGTTGGGAAAACATTGGAAAACCTGGTAAATGATTTGATTATGATATGATCATATCGGAAAACCAGGTAAAACATACTATAGTATTGTTGGTAAATTGTATGAATCTGATATTGTAGGCCTCTTTTGTTCTTAAATGTCTTAAAGAAGTTCTTTTTGTTCAGGCACATGTTATCATCTATTCGTGTAGAGCTTAGAGGTATAAGCTTATTATGCATATATTATATGTATATTATATGTATGATATGTATGTATTATGCATATTCATGTATATGTATATATATATATATATACAAACAAGTAATCATGGGTGATCTGGATTTTTAAATACCATGGTAAGCAACATTCCAGTTTCAAATGTTCGGTGGAAATTTCAGAACCCTAAAATGGCAGTACTGCAGTAGATAAGGCAATCTTTTGTGAACATATTCCCGGACATATTCCCTTACATAGCCGCCATAGGCCTCACTTATGCCTTATATATGGTAGGTACCTCGAAGTTGGGTACCTGAAATGGCCATTGAAATGTGACCCACTCAGCTTGGGTTGGAGGAGCTGAGCCCAGGAATCCCCAGGCAAACGAATCCCAGTTGCTTCAAAAAGTGGATCAAAAACTGGATCAATTGGGCAAACAGCCCACTCGAATGGGGAAATTTTAACCTAACAATCTGTTGGGATGTATTGAAAAAATATGGATCCGTGGCAAACTGAATGGTAGCACATGGTAGCAGCGGCCATCTGATTTTCACACACCAAATGAGTTGGATAAATAAGCGCTACCACTATGGCTTGCTGTGGAGTTTACCATGTGTAACTGGGCAACGTGCATTGGGGTCCCGCGTATTTTTCGGCGTTTCTTACCGAGCATGGGAAACACTGAAAAGCCTATCCCTTGATAGCCTCTGGTTATTTAACAGTTCGCTCTGGAAAATCCCCAGTGCTAGTAATCACAATTCAGTAAATCAAATCTATAGTTGTCCATCTATACGTACATAGCTTTGCTTTGCTGAATTAGTTCCAGATTTTGTCGAAGACCTCCCAGTTACATTTGCCAACTTCGGGGATCCAAACCCGAAGCTCCCTGGGTGTAAAAGCTTTTGGTTTTGAACATCAGCATAGATATAAATGGGTTTTCATCTGCGATGTTTAAGTTCAAAGGATGTCAAACATGGCAAATTTGGAACCAACGATTTGAGGTTCAAGTGTTGAGTCCAAATCCCAAAAACAACCATGGCCTTAATTCATGGATGGCTGAATGGTTGATGCTTGGTGCAATTTGATATGCCCACCTGACTGACGGTTCTACAAATCATGTAGAACACACCTGGATACTTCAGCCAGTCACTTGACCTGCCCCCCGGGGCCCCGTGACTGCCGGCCTCGTTCACATCCATGGGCTCCATAATGGTGCGCATGTTGGGTGACATGGCTATGATCTCGCCACTGTTCAAACACAACTTCCTGAAGCAAAAAAGGGCAGAAGCCCCTGCTGCTGAGAACCCATTCGAATATATCAACAGCTAAAAAATAGGCGTTTCTTGTTGTTAACTATACTGTAATTGCTCTGGGGAAAATGGGGAAATGAAAAACTTGTTGAAACTAAACTATCACAGCTTTAATGAAATTACACACACAGATGTAAGCATAGATAGATAGATAGATAGATTAGATTAGATTAGATTAGATTAGATTAGATTAGATTAGATAGATAGATAAGATAGATAAGATAAGATAAGATAAGATAAGATAGATAGATAGATAGATAGATAGATAAGATAGATAAGATAGATAAGATAGATAAGATAGATAAGATAGATAAGATAGATAAGATAGATAAGATAGATAAGATAGATAGATAGATAGATAGATAGATAGGTAGATAGATAGATAGATAGGTAGATAGATAGATAGATAAATAGATAGATAGATAGATAGATAGATTAGATAGATAGATAGATAGATAGATAGATCGATCGATCGATAGCTAGATAGATAGATATTCAGCAGCGCTATGATTAGCTATATAACTAATCCTTTCCCCAACAGAACAATTACTAAAACTATCCAATGATAATTGGATAATTGGGTCATTTGACGTTACAGGATTTGTTTGTGTACAATTTTATTGTCACACTTGGCATATCAACAAAATCAATCAACAACTGCATGATGGTGCCCCCCAGTTATAAGTTGGTTATAAACCATAGTAAGTACAGATATATCTACCATTGACCATAAACCATAGTTATTGGAGTTATAAACCAACTTAGCTAACTATGGGGCACCATCTTGTGGCAACCATATTATGATGTCAACATATATCAACTACTCATGAACCAGTCATAGGGTGAAAAACCGGTTGATCTTCCAGAGACATGTATCAATCAGTATCGTGCATTGAAGGCGACGGCATAAACCTGAAATTGTTGGTCAATTCTCTCTCCGCAGGCCCTAAGGTCATTGGTCATAGTTCATCAGTTCATTCTTTGCTGGATATACCCTCCAGTAAACTAACAGTTTGCTATGGAAAATGATCCATAGAAATAGATGATTTACCTACGAAAAATGGTGATTTTCCAGTTCGCAAACTGTTAGTTTACCGGGAAAAATGCTATGTTAGCATACATTGGGGACCTCTTATTGTGAAGCATCCACCCCCCCGGGCAAAAACTTGTTCCTTCGAGTCCTTCGATCTGCAAAATTCCAGTTTTATTTCCAAAAAACATCCAAAAACTGTAACCCATAGGATCCATGTATGCTATATATATGGTAACATCTACCATCAATATACCCCCAATGTTAGCATATATATATATACCATACATGGATCCTGTGGGCAATGTGAAAGAAATGTTCCGCAGCACTTGCACCTCAATGGATGAATTCAAACGATGAGCATTGTGCAAGAAACTGTGGCTGAGTTCCATATCCAATATCTCCACATCAACTCCATGAACTCGAAAACATGCTAAGACTGCGACTGCTTAAGACTGCAAAGTTTCGCTAGATAGGGATGGGTCAAACCATGTCAAATCAATTAAAGCCCGATATTTTGGGGGATGTGCGTCCGTTTACCAGTTGATTTCATTTCTGCCCCTAAATGTTCAAGTACCAAACCATCCAAACCATGCACATGCTTCCCAGCCATGATTGCCGAATCATCCAAGATAAATCTTACGCTGCCAAGCTTCTTGTTCTCATCCATCACGGTGTTCATGTTCTCAATCCACACTGCATCAATAGGTCCGTCGAAGACCAGCCATTTCCTCTCCTCCGTCCTTTTCGGGTGGCGACCCATTTTTTTTTTCTCGGGTGGCGACAGGTGGTGTCCCCGAAGAAGCCTAGAACTTTCCGTACGTAGTTTCATGAAGTTTATAGCGAACTTAACTATTTGGTTTATCAATGTTTATCATAGATATTCAGATATATAGTTAATCTATGTTAATCCAATGGGCTTTTTTAACCAACTTATACCAGGACCATCTTGACATGAATGTTAACTGGCAACAGTTCACTGCTAAGCTGTTCATACAAATGAGTGAAAAGTATACCTGGACAGCACCACCTTGTACCCTATGACAACACAACGGAACATCTCAATGCATTTGGTGACTAAATCTGAGGGTTTCTTGTTTAACTGTTATGTAAAATATGTAATTATGGTAAATCTAGCTGTAATACAAGCTTTGAAACATGTAAAACAAGAGAAAGAGTGTATGACTAAAAAACAGCACGCCGACTGATCGTTTCTGGGCACCGTTTGGCCCTGTGCAATCGCATCCTGTGAAACACATGTGCTTTGCCCAACATCATCACTGACTTGATATTCTGTGTGATTCATCTTTCCTGTATATTTTATTAAAGTGTTAATACGGTTTAATACTAATTAATATTAATTAATTATTCATAAATTTAATAGAAGAAAATCATCACTGACCTGATCTTTCCAGTTTCATCATTATATTGCAAGATAAAATGAGCATAGATGAGTGATCTAAACCTCGAAGCTCCAGGGCTGTCATCCAAGTGTCATGTTGCGTCCAAACTCACGGAAGAGCACCGCAACGATTCCGTCTGCCCATTCCTGCGGTCTTTTTGGAGTTGCGACAGTTGCGACGGTGGATTTGCCACACCATTTTGTGGTGAAATCGAAGCCTTTTTACCCCCTGGTAATTTAACAGAATTAGCTATGGACAATTGCCATTTATAGTGGATTTTCCCTTAAACAATGATGGTTTTCCATAGCTATGTTAGTTTACCAGAGGGTAACCCAAGTGCAGCCCCTAGAGGCAGCATCCCTCATGGCTCAGCCGGCCGGTCGAAGGCACCTTAGAGACCTCGTCGAAGGTGCCGTAGAGGCATGGGGCCGGGATGCTCTTGGGATTCAGCCGTGCCTTCCGCGAAGCTTGGCGGAGCCCAGGTTGCTATCAGGTGGTGCCGCATAGGAAAACCATATAGGAAACCATAGGTTTTGATCACGATTTCACCCAGTTAAAAATGGGGATTCGAAATTCGATATATGATTCAATGGCATGCATTTATAGCTGATTTATGATAGCCAATTTTTTATGATATATCGCACTAGTTAATGGTGCTAATACGCCAACTTATAACTCTTGTACCTGGTACCTAGAACAATGGGGTAATATACTTATACCCATCACCTTGGGACTTTTACCTCTCTTTATGGGTGCTTGGAGGTGCCTACTTGGGACCCCCTGCCTGATGCACCGCGCATCCTGCGTGCATGATACCCTCATGGGCCAGATCTGTGAGGGTCTTCTGCAGACCTTGGAGTTGCTGATCTGGGACCATCAAAAAAGTACAGTCCCTCGATTGGTTGAAGGTACAATCTACAGGAAACCATGGTTTCCCCATGAAAATATAGGTGGTTCCTGGAAATTTTCCCGTAAACCAATCCAGTGATGTAGGTTCTATGATCTTTGAGTCATGAGAAAATGAAGGGGGTTCTCACGGAATAACAATATATAATCACCCAAGAAAGGGAATGAGAACCCTCCCGGTAGAAGATATCTTTCGTGGAATCATTGTTGAATACCAAATGTTCCTGGTAGACTGCCCAAATGGCAAATCGAAAGTCAACCAATGGCTCCCCAAATCATTCCCAGCATAGTAAGGTGGCAAACCGCGAGCACTATTAACCATGATGAACCACCATTAAACCACTATTAATCACCATTAAACCACCATTAACCATTATTAAACCGCCACTGATTTAAAGAACATGCAAAAAATCATGCGCAACCAACGCAGAGTACTCCAAGAAGCAGTTCAAAGCCGTAGTTTTGCCACTGAAAGGCATCCCCACCAACATCACGCTGTGACGCACGATGTGGCACTCGTAGAACCTGAGATAGAAAAGCAGAGCAAAAGTCCGATGTACTGAAGGAGTATAGCACAAGGGAAGAAATGATAAGAACTGTATAGCCTAAGTCCATATAACGGTGATGAACATGAACATGCAGGTTTGACATTCTGCATTAACCATGTGGTGGTCATCTTAGAATCATCTTGGATCATCGCAAGGGGCATATGGAATAGTACGCCACAATGGGAATGGTTTATTCTTGGGTTGACAGTACCTCATTATTGCTGATAGGTCAGAACATGTGGGACACCAATCGGTTCTTCTGTGCATGTGAGGGCCAGTATTTGAGGCACAGCGCCTTATCCGTTGAAAGAAATCTGGCCAGAGGATATTCATGTTGCTCATGCTGCGTATTGTGCGGTGCTAAAAACCCTTTTTTTCCAGGCAAAAACATCTGAACTTTCCCAGTTGGAATCCAATGTTGATGAGTTTTGGAGGAATCCACCAGAAACTGGGCTGGGCTCACCATGAGAAATCCGAGGCGAAAACCTGGTCGAAAACCTACTTTAGGGGAAGCCGTTCCACTCCAACGACTCGGTGTGTCTCAAACATTTCAACCAAGGAACCGCTGGTCTGCTGGTCCATTTTTAGTAGCAAAGTATCCCATTTGGGGAACATTTCCGGTAAAATCGCCATGGCTATACCGTAGAAAGTAGCACAAAATATCTTGGAGGATCATCCCACTTCATAATTGGTTAGCAAGCCTGGTGATCGTAAGTCCACCCACTGGATTATCTCATAACTGGGAAACTGGGTAACTGGTCGCCCCACAAAAGCTAACCAGCTACTTGGTGGCTCATCCCATTTTGCTCGTGGATGTGGGTTAGTTCACCCCAGTGATATACATGGGATTTTTGTAGGGTTAATCCATGTTAATCCACTCAAAAAGCTGTGGTGAACTAACCCACTTACTAGGTGGGATGAGCCTAACATAGCCTAACCAGCTAGGATTTTTTCTCCAAGTCTTTGCACCCAAGGCGCTGGATGATCTTCTCGATAAAGTAGGGATGAGGCTGGCAATGCTCGGCATTCAGGTGCCTGGATGGTGGAAGGACCGTCGGCATTACGGTCCTACAATGTGGGGCCTAGATAAGTTGGTTTATTATATAACCCCATTACCTATACGTAGCTATAAGATGTTATATGAAAACTTGAGATGTTATAATATAAGTATATAGGTAATATATAGGTATCATACACCCGAGTTGTATCTAGTTATTCGACTTATCTTCACCACCAAAAATCGCAACGTGTTGGGCCAAAAACTCTCCGTTGCCAGCCGTGCGGCTCTCCCAACTTCGTGGTCAAAGCTCCAAAGTCCGGCTCCGGTAAGACAACCCCAGGGAACAGATCCGACGTGATGCCCTTGAACCTCGCCCATGGAAAATGCTGGAAAGTGGTGGACATCACTGACATCACTTAAGGAATTTTAAGGCTATTGCGGCGATTTTTCGGGACTTCACATGATTTCAAGTGATTTGCACTGATTTTTGAGGCTGTGGACAATGTTTTTCATAGACAAACTTGGAATTTGAAGAACAAGTTTGATGGATATTTTACTCTGAACCGAGCTACGGAAATGGAGGTTGCTGATTCAACGTGATTTACGCTTTTTTTCGCATCAATTTCAATTGGTGGTTTCTGAAACTGATAGCGGAACCCACATCATGGAACAACAATAAATAGAGGAACCATATCATCCATATCTATATAATCAAGTTCTAGAGCCATTACAAACCATGAATCACCATAAATTTATGAACATCCCCACCTTTCCCTTCCCGGATTGCGACTCCCTTGGACCTATAAACCTATACAACGGACCGTTCCGAGAAACAACGGCACGTCAAAGGCCAAAAACTTCGCCAAGTTCACGTCACAAATGGAGCGAAGCATCAGAATCTCTTCCTTCTCGGTGGGGTATTTGCCTCATGACCCAGCCCGTGGCCATCCGTGGCCAAAGCGAAGGCCACGAGATCTGATAAAACTGGAGTCTGGGAACACAATACCAAATTATTAACAGTTTGCGAACTGGAAAATGGCCATGTATAGTGAGTTTTCCCAATAAAAATTGTGATTTAGAGGATATAGATCACTGGTTGGTGGTGCAATTTCACCATCTTGAAACATGCGAGGATTATCAACGTGAGTCAGCTGAGCTCTTGGGGTCTGTCCATGTCACCTTTTTCACCCCTGTGACACATCAAAAAATGCTGGCCACATCGATGAATCAGGGGGGTTACCCTAGGTAACCCACACTGGCCAACAATGTCTTAGGGTCTTCGGGAAAAGCTGCGCAAGATTCAGTTCCTAAACCATTTTCTGAAACCTTGACTGACCTTGCAGCCTGAAATTCACCCAATATATCAAGGGCAATTCATGTCTGAATCCCAAATTACCCCTTCCACCCCATACATAAATTCCCACTTCAAGGGATGGATAGGGCCTTTCGGGACCACCATTTCTGAATAATCGATCCACATAGCTCCAATATGTTCATGCGATCCAAGAATTCATACACAAATCGCAATGAATTATCCCATAGGATCCATGTATGGGATATATGCTAACATTTGGGGTATATTGATGGTAAATGTTACCATATATATGGCATACATGGATCCTATGGGTATGATTCTTCGGATGGTGTTTGAATTGAAGTAACTACAACTCTCAGATCCTATCATTTGGGGGGTTCCAAAGTCATGGGGGGGTACCTCCATTCATCATCCATTGTTTTTATAGGATATTCCATAGCTTACCCTCTGGTAAACATACACCAAACTATTGAATTCACCACTTTTAGTAAGTAAATCAACTATAAATGTGCCATTTTCAATGAACATGCTATTTTACAATGTAGATCTATGAACATGACCATGTTCAATAGCTTTATTTTTTGTCATAACCAGATGGTTTTTATCAATATATATATACTGAAGATATATGGATTTATCCAAGCATCAATTTTCTGAGTCTGGGAAGCTCATGATTGATCCATTGATTGGATTAATATCACTCCATATGCCCGGCCTGGTAAACTGTCACATAACTATGGAAAGATCCACCCATTTTTCATGGGAAAATCCACTATAAATGACCATTTTCAATAGCTTTTTGTTAGTTTACCAGGCCGGGTACATCACGGGATTTTAACGCCGAGGGACGCTTCAGGTTCCCCGCCGCGACCAGTACCGAGAAGACAGCGCGCATGCCGTAGTCGTAGTGCTTCTGGGAGGACAACTGTTCACTACACAGCCTCGAGCACGGAGAATCCGGAGAATCGATTGGGACAATTCGTGGTGAGTTGGGTTTGTGAATTTTCATGTTGATTCATGAGTTGAATATTGGTGATGAATGGTGACTAATGGAGTTACCTTACGGTGTCATCATGATTTACCTATGAAAAATTGTGATTTTCCATGATCAAAATTGGGATTTCATGGGGATATCCATGGAAATTCATCAGCTCCATGGCATATCATGGCATCATGGTAGCTTTTCCGGCCAGGTTTGGCTGCTGGTTTTTTGGAGCCTCATTTTAAGCCAGAAGAGTTCTGTGAGTGGAATGTGCACTTACATACTGTACATTACTGTACTCTTAAATGTGAGTTGTATCTAGTTGTGCCACTTTGTCTATATAGTAGAAATTCAGGATATGCTTGTATACTCTGATTCCGGGTGAGGCCCCATGATACTTTAGGGGAAGGGATGGTATTTGGGCATCTGGAGTTCAAATATCCTTCAAAAGCCTCAAATCCAACTTATGGCAATGGGCAAAGGAACCAAGAGTGTCGCTGCAATGGCAGTCTGGACATGTACTTGATGCTTTGCAGATTCCTCGCAAAATGGTGAACTTAGATGATATCTCTACAATGTGAGGCCCCCAAGATAGCTAAGTTGGTTTATAACTCCAATAACTATGGTTTATGGTACTTATAACTATAGTTACTGGGACTTATAAACCAAAACATAACTGGGGGGCCTCACATTGTTGAAAACACCTGGGGATGGCTAAACCTAACCATCCGAGTACCTTAAGGGTTTTGACATGTTTTGACTCATAGCCACCAGCCATAGCTTTTGCCACACCAAGGAGCTTGTAGGTTGTCACGATCTTTTGAGCCAAAGATCTGGCGTCGGCATAACCTTTGGTGATCCCGAATGAAAAGTGACAACTTCTGAAGCGATACCAACACCGTCAAGGAATATACAAGTTGAATATAGAAATTGCATTTTTCCCCACCTGCCAGGTGAGGGTTGTTAGATTTTATGTCAGTTGCCTCCTTCTCCTCCTCCTCCTGCCTCGTCCTCCTCTCCTCCTCCTCTCCTCCTCCTCCTCTCCTCCTCGTCCTCCTTGTCATCCTTGTCGTCCTTGTCGTCCTCGTCGTCCTCGTCGTCCTTGCTCAACTGCGACCCGCGATCCACAGTGTTCTCTGCCGGACCTCAACCACGACCATCCACGCCCAGTGTTCCCTGCCGGACCTCAACCACGACCATCCACGCCCAGTGTTCCCTGCCGGACCTCAACCGCGAGTATCCACGCCAAGTGTTCCCTGCCGGACCTCATGTAGGAAGATAAAATGTCAATAGAATGCCAGAAGAATGCCAGATAAGAATGCCAGAAGATATGCCAGATAGAATGCCAGATAGAATGCCAGAAGATATGCCAGATAGAATGCCAGAAGATATATGCCAGAAGATATGCCAGATAGAATGCCAGAAGATATGTATGCCAGATAGATGTCAGATAGAATGCCAGAAGATTATGCCAGAATGCCAGAAGATATGCCAGATAGAATGCCACAAGATATGCCAGATAGAATGCCAGATATGCCAGAAGATATGCCAGATAGAATGCCAAAATAGAATGTCAGAAGATATGTCAGATAGAATGCCAGAAGAATATGCCAGATAGAATGCCAAATAGAATGTCAGAAGATATGTCAGATAGGAATGCCAGAAGATATGCCAGAGAGAATGCCAGAAGATTATGCCAGATAGAATGCCAGAAAGATTTGCCAGATATGCAGAAGATATGCCAGAAGATATGCCAGATATGCCAGAAGATATGCCAGATAGAATGCCAGATAGAATGCCAGAAGATATGTCAGAATATATGCCAGAAGATATGCCAGATAGAATGCATATGTCAGAAGATATGTCAGATGGAATGCCAAATAGAATGTCAGAAGATATGTCAGATAGAATGCCAGAAGATATGCCAGATAAAAATGCCAGAAGATATGCCAGATAGAATGCCAAGATAGAATGCCAGAAGATATGCCAGATAGAATGCCAAATAGAATGTCAGAAGATATGTCAGATAGAATGCCAGAAGATGTGCCAGTAAGAACATGTATAAATGTCATGGTGGGGATCACACGAAGTAAAGTAATTTTCTATAGTTTTTATACATGCTCTTGTGATCTGTGGTGGTCGGGCTCAGTTTATTCCGTGAAGGTTCCCCAAAAGGAGCATACCTCAATATACCTCAGTACCATGTACTCTGGTCATTTGAGAGTTGTTTATATTATTTTATATTATTCTTCACTGGTGTAACATGCTCTTTGACTGCCAGGACACCGTATGAGTAGAGCTTAATCTCTGCAATCATCGCCTTGGTTGCGAGCTGCGACACCAGGCTGTAACTGAGAGCTGCCAACATCAGAAGGGTGTCACGTTTTCAAGTTTTTTTGGCATTGAAATGGATGTCTTTCCATTTTTTCACATAAATCAGAGGGTGCTCCCATTGCCAGGTTGAATTGGTTGGCGGTTCTGTTCTCAACTTTGTGGTAAATCCCGTTTTTTTTTGGGGGGGGTAGGGAACACAAAATCCCAAGGGTCACGGTTACATCATGTTAAAAATCATAAATTCGAGTTTTGCTGCTAAAACATATTCACTTATGTTCATTAATTACTGAAAGAAACACATTGCCACAATGCCTCCCTCCACAAGTATCAGGTAACCATCAGACCTGCCCATCTACCATCTCAATTCATACCTTAACGAATAACAATTCATACATTCACACAACGCCGAAGCTGCTCATCTACGATTCAAATGTCCAAATATAACGTCAACAATACATATTCTTAGTCCAAATACCCCCTGGTAAATCAACATAGACCCTGAAAATAGCAAATTTTTCATGCAAACAAGTCTTCCAACCCCAACAACTACCAGGGTCGAACTGTGAAAATTTACCAGAGGGTACCCTCTGGTAAACTAACATAACTATGGAAAATCACCATTTACAGTGGATTTTCCCATTAAAAATTGTGATTTTCCATAGTTATGTTAGTTTACCAGAGGGTGTGTCCAAACCTTCCAATCATCAAAGCCATCATCAAATCCCCACCATCCCAACCCCGCATCCCGCCGCGGCAAGGTGACGTAGTCCGGCACCATCATCGCCACCGTCCGAAAGAGCGCCTTCAAGTTGTCCGGCAGCTCGGCGCGGCCCGCGTAGCCGGGGTTCATGGTGATGAAGCAGTTGCAGGTCCTGGGCCACTGGGGCTGAAAAACCCATGGAATTGTCCCAACGATTCATGGAACATATGGGAAAATCATGGAAAATCATGGAAAATCCCATCGACATGGAGATAGCTGGGAAAATCATCGAACTAAATGGATGTTTTTTTTGAAAGAATCATGAAAAAATGGTGGTTGTTAACCAGAGATAGTGGATTATTTCATGGGACTCATAGTTGGTGCTCGATAGAAGCATGACTGGGAAATCCCCCCTATGGCCTAGATGGAGGTTGATTAAAATGTAATGAGTGACAGTTTGCGAACTGGAGAACAACCAAGTTTAAGATCATGGAATCGAGAGGGGGGGGTCTGAGGGGGGGGGGGGTTCTGGATAAGCTTGGATAAGCCATGGATAAGCCAGGATGATCATGTTCAGAAAGAAAGGTGAATTTCCGGGTGTTCATTGAAAGTCGGGAGAGTGATTTGACCTGGATTTTGGGGTGGGGGTTGGGTGGCTAAAGGCTTAATAAGGGTTAAATGATAAGCATTGGATAAGCCTTGAATTAGCGAGAAACAGCAAGCTATTCTGCATACCCCCCCCCAAAAAAATGACCCCTCAGGACCCCAGGTCCCCAAAATTGCCAAAATTGGGGAAACATATTGAACACGCATCGCAAGCACTGCAAAAACGGCAAAAACCCAAATTTCCTTTTTTCTGGGTTGTGGCTCAAATCACCCACTGCTTTGGATAAGCAATGGATAGGGAAGTTCAGCTATCCTCGGGAAATAACACCTTAATAAGGCCTTAAAGGATAACCCCTTGAAGGATAACCCCTTAATAAGCCTTAATAAGCCCTGAATAAGGCTCAATGAGACCTTAATAGGTCCTTAATAATTTAATAGGGGTTTATCATTTCCCAGCCTTATCAGGAGCTTCAATGATAAGCTCAGACCCTCCCCCCCGGACCCTCCGTCCCGATTCCATGATAAGAGGTAAATCATCGATAGATGGGTAAATATAATTAAATATATAAATCTATAAAAATCTACATAAATCTAGATAAATGGGTAAATCAATGTAAATCATCAATGGAGCATTTTAGGACATTCACTTTGGCATCGCCAAATGGATCCATTCCGAGGTGCCATTTCAGCGGCAAGTTGGCCGTCCCCTCGAACTCGAAACAGGTGAAGCGAGCCTTCACCATGGCAAAAGCCGAGGTCGGAGATCATTTTTGGTGGTTGACCTACCCCTCTGAAAAATGATGGAGTGAAAGTCAGTTGGGATGATGATGATGACATTCCCAGTATGATGGGAAAAATAAAAGCCATGTTCCAAGCCACCAATTAGATTAGATATTTGCAAGTATTTGCATCATGCGGATGTATTTCCATCAATATTTGATGATATTTGCAAGTATATATGATTAATATTTGTGTATGCATCGCATGATCATGTACATTGACCACATCCCAATTATCATTCACATGTTTCCTAAAGTGGGGGGACCCAACTGAACTCAACAACGGATGGTTCAAAAGAAATATTATATATAGTATAAATAGAAAATCTTAAGTTGAAATGGAAAGTCCATGAACGAGTTTATAAAGTAGACCAAAAAAAAACTATATGATGGAAATGATCATCCATTTCAACTTAAGATTTGGATTGATTTGGAGAATACCACCATTTCAACTGGACACCGTCCACAGACACCTGGAGGTATCTTCAGCGCCGCTGAGTTTGAAAAACGTGAATCTTTTCATGTTATGATAACTCCATGACTATTGAAACGTTTCAGAATATGGGTTGAAAAAATGGGTTGAAAAATAATCTATCCGCATCTGAAAAATTCTGTGCAAGAACATTGTGAACATGAAACATCACAGAAAAAATGCGGCTATTACCGTGACTATTGTTGTTTACAAAGTATACATATCGTAGATAGTTAAACATGTTGAACCAATATCACAAAAGAAATCTTTTCAGAAATTGATCACCTGAATTTACTTAATAACTCCAGGATTCACTTAAAAATCCACCAAAATCGCCCATGGGATCAGAGTCCGTACCTTGATTGCGTTTTGGATCTGCAAGATCTGCTGCGCAATGACACTCAGCACCTGGGAGCAACAGTTTTTCAATGTTTTTCATATCGGTGGGTGGCTATCATCCATAAGATCCCAGTAGTATTCCTAGTGATGATCTTGTACTTTTCGGATGATGTTTGATGATGTTTGATGATGTTTGACGATTTTAGTTCGATCTTATCTATCGTTATTTCTTTTGGGGGCTATATCATAGGTCTCCCCTCATTTGAAGGGAATATCACCTACAAAAACAGGTTTTAACCAAGAGGTATGGAGATATATATCACAATAAATCTAATCGACACGGGGATAACCATATCATTAACGTAACAAAACAATAGATGCAAAGGAGGCTGACCTAAGTCAATTATGTATTGCCACAATTTTAGTATAATTGCTCTATTTTTTTGGGGGGGAGGTGGTTGCTATATGTTGCTATGACCTACCAGTACCACATTCGCGTCCAAAATACGTGTTTCCCAGCTATTTCCGCACCCGTCAAAACACCTCTGCATCGATGCGATTGAACTCGTCAAAACAGGCCCAACCACCTTGGCAAAGTGGCCTGGACTTAGTGGCCCCAGGGGTGATTTCGAACAGCTGAAAAGCTGTATCTGTTGGAGATGAAATATCCCCCGTTCTATAATGTTCAGTTAGGACATGTTAGGACATTTACCAACCCCTGTTTGTCTTGGCGAACCTTACATACACAGCAAAAAGGAGGAACCATTTATTTGATGGGAAATGTGCGCAAAAACGTACTGCTAGTGAAAATTCACCCGGCATCTGAAGCCTTGGCCCTCAAACTAGCATGACACATTGGTAAATAACCCCGAATTGAATTAGGGAGTAACGGAGTAACAATCTCAATTTCATGGCTACACTGACATCTACAAAATTTCATCGGTAATGGTCATGATATGTCATCACCAGAGACCATGAATCCATACAATCTAACACCACTGGATTTGTGAGCTATAAGTATTATACAAAGGGGTAAGGCCTCCAAGTTACTTACGATTTGGTTGACCCCAAAAAATATCCAAGTGCAAAGTAAGCGTCAAGGGGCACAGGTCCGCCAGGTACCCTTTCCGAAAGACAAAAAAATATAAAGGGATTTTTCAATGATCAGCTAAGATTAAAGAACATGTCAATGTCCATTTGCAAGCACTTCTCCATACAAAAAAAATATTCCAGGATGTTTCCACATGGTTCAGACCCAAAAAAATTGGGGCAGGAAGGCTGCAACAAGTTCTAAAGCTGAACCAACAAACAGAACTTCATAAATGATGTACCATCCAGATCCATCCACATGGCAATGAACCCAAACACTGGAAAGTCCATCATTGAAAAAGATTAGTTTCCCCAGTTTCACGCCTCTACCGATTTTTTGTGGTTTTCCCATTGCCATGTGACGGTTTGCCGGAGGGTAATCCGATAACCAATCGTGGCAAATATATGTTGTATAGGCTGTATAGGTATCGAGTCATTGAAAAACATGTATATCTTAATGCGTATTCTATAATGCGTTTGTGTTTTCCTTTAATCTTCCCACTTTCCCGTCATTTGTTCTTGCCTAGCCTATAAGGATATTCCCTCCAGTGCACAACGTAAACATACAAAAAACATCAAAACACGATATCTGGGTAAATTATAATATTTCACTAACCTGAATCTTGCGGCCATTTGGTGATGATTTCCAATACTAACCATGATTCCTATCGTCGTGGCCGGGGGCCTCACATTGTAGTTATAACCCCATTTCCACCACCGCCCAGCTGATCCCGGCATCCAAGTGACCCGAAGAGGCCAAGCCTTTGAAGAATTTGGCCTCGGCGGCGGATCAAAGTGAAGATGGACGAAGTGAGATGTGGTTACTATGTGGTTAGCTGGAGAAAAAAAACACATAACGGAGAAGCTCCGATAACCCAACATTGAACCTGGGATTCTGGGATTAGATAACTAATATCAGTTGCAAGAACCAATGATAGAGATGAATTAGATGTGCCTGAGGAATGACCTGGGATATAGCAGCAAACTAAAGTGGCTTTCATCCGTGTGATGAAACTGTTAAAACATCTGTCATTTTGAGAGATGTTCCTCTTAAGAAGGAGTTGGGTCAGATTTGCTGATGCCTTTGCCTTACCAAGGTCTATCCGTCTATCCAGTAAGTGTTGCGCAATCTACGGTTCCTCTCCCCCATTCCTGTGATTTCATGTCGATGGTTTACCTTATCACAACCCCATCCCCAATGTGGGTAATTAAATGTTTATCAAACGTCAAGATTGCCTGGGCGCCTGGCCCGAACCGCAACGACGACGGGCAACGCATCATCATCATCATCATCATCATCATCAGTTGAATGCAGATTTTAATATTCCTGAATACCTTTGTTGATCTTCCCAAGTGAATGTAAAGTTTAACGGGGGGTGGGAAATTAATATTACCTAATACCTTTGTTGATCTTCCCAATTGAATGTAAAGTTTAACGAGGGGTGGGAAATTAATATTACCTAATACCTTTGTTGATCTTCCCAATTGAATGTAAAGTTTAACGGGTGGGAAATTAATATTACCTAATACCTTTGTTGATCTTCCCAATTGAATGTAAAGTTTAACGGGGGTGGGATTTTCATATTCCCTAATACCTTTGTTGATCTTCCCAATTGAATGTAGAGTTTAACGGCGGGTCGGATTCTAATATTCCCTAATTACCTTTGTTGATCTTCCCAATTGAATGTTAAGTTGCAACAACATTTGATTGGGAATGGGAACCCTCTACGCTGCAACGCTGGGCAAAGCCCAGGCGTTGCGCGTAATTATATATTGGGTCGGTCTATCTATTATAAATATGACCTATAGGATCCCCAGTCTGGTTTCTGATTAAGTTCAAGGCCTTGGGCCTTGGGATACTTTGATTTCTTAGTTCAATGACTTCCACGATCTTCCACGTGACCTTCCCAAGGCCCAGCGCGTGCCATGGCGCCATGGCGTTGACGTCCAATTCGTCACTGCAGTTGAAGACCACGCAAAAGCGTGCCAGCGCCTGAAAGCTGAGCGCCAGCGAGGTGTTTAACGAAAATTCCCAGCATCAAAGCATATCAAAGTGCAAAAACATCTCTGGAACATACCCTCTGGTAATTTAACATAGCTATTGAAAATGACCATTAATAGTGGATTTTCCCATTAAACATGGTGATGTTCAATAGCTATGTTAAATTACCAGAGGGTAGATCTTATTTGATCTTCGTATTTCGAGAAATTGGTGTCTGCAAATCACCCCAATGAATGGTAAGTAAGAAATTTGAAACTGGGGAAAACTTTCTGGTTAATTGTTCCATTCTTGTCTATCCCAATGGACAATGATCATTTTCCGTATTATACATAGCTATGTTGATGGGTATCCCCCATTCTCAGGAAAATTCATATACCACACAGAAAATCATAGAAACCTGTTGTGAGTCATGACATGTTCGTTGCGAATAGGAATGCATATCTTCTGGTAATATATGTGTTCATTGTCAATGCACATATAATAACAGAAGGAATATATGGATACCCTCTGGTAATTTAACATAACTATGGAAAATCACCATTTATAGTGAATTTTCAAATGAAAAATGGTGAATTTCCATAGTTATGTTAGTTTACCAGAGGGTATATCTCATTATATACTTGATGTCCACGTCTCATGATATACCAACATATTTTATGAACTATCCCAATAGAATCCATCATTATCCTATAGTGACATGTTTAAAAGAAGCCCAAGTTGGTTGTCCATGCCATGAAATAATATCCCAATCATATCAGTAAGTATCCCAATATATTTTGTAGATTATATCCCATTATCTGCTGTTATAGGTGTGTATATATATACATATAGTTGTATGCATCCCACTGAAATATAGTCCCATCATTCTATGATAACATATATATATAATATAGAGCATAATATTCTATGGGAATACCCCATCAAATATATAATCACTATATAAATATACCATCTTTATAGATTTCCTAACGCTATCATTCATGATAAGATATCATAAATAGATCAGTTTCCTAACACAATCATACATCTACTAATGATCCTATTTATGGGAATATCTGGTTGGTGGTTTCAACCCCTCTGAAAAATATGAAAGACAGTTGGGGTTATTATACCCAATATATGGAAAAATAAAAGCCATGTTCCAAACCACCAACCAGTATAGGTTACCCTCCAGGAATATCAGTCATCAAACATGGCTGGTTGGAAAATCCCCGATCCTATTTATGATCCTTTTAATGGGAATATAGTTATCAATTATTACTGGTTGGTGGTTTCAACCCCTCTGAAAAATATGAAAGTCAGATTGGATCATCATCCCAACTATTGGGGAAAATAACAGCCATGTTCCAAACCACCAACCAGATTAGTTCACTAATTCCTATCCACGATATCTCTCCAGAAACGGCACCTTGGCCAGGTCCTTCACCGTCTCGGTCTTTCCAGTGCCCGCGGGGCCCTCGGGCGCCGCGCCGTAGAGCAGGTGCAAGGCGCCGCAGCAGGTGCCTCACAACCGGGGGTCAGGTGGAAACCAAAAAAAAACGACGAAAAAAACAGAGTTCAGATGATTTTAAGTGCGATCCGCTTTTGAACAACAAATCCAATCAATATTTTTTTGGGGGGTATGTTTTTATATCACTTTAAGTGTTATAAGTTAACAGGTGTTAACAGGTGTTAACATGTGTTAACATCATATCATCTTGTTTGGCTTCTATCCTTTTTAGTCACTGATGGCAAATGTTCCTGGTGATGGCTGCGGATGGTTGGAGTCTTATGATTTCTAGTGGTTTCAAGCCTCCTGAAACCATCGGCCACTATGCATCAAACATTGACGATTTTGAGGTACCCTGTCTTTGGACAACCATGACATTTCAGGGGTTCTAGATGGTTCTAGCATGAGAGCAGGGCAACGGATTTTCATTTGACATTTGCATATTCTAAACTTTCTAAACCAAACCTGGCGTTTAATCTCCTGTGCAGTGCATCCTGCTACCCAATCTCACAAACCCCAAATCTAGATCCAAAATGATCCAAAGAAAAACGAGGACAAGTGATTCAGCCAAGATCCAGCGCATCTTTTCTCCAGCCCCAAAGAAAAACAACAAAAATCAAAGTCTTCTCAGCCAAAGTGACGATAGCAGCGATCTGTCAGGGGTGTGACCACTAAGCGTCCACAGTTGCCCAGGTATTCATAGGCATAGCCCAAGTGACCTTGGCGGAGCACTGGACCACTGGACATCACTGGACCACTGGCTGAGGCGCTGAAAGGTTGCATCCATTTTAGGAACCATCATTCCATTTTAGAACTGCCGAAAGAAGAAAAACACGATGCTTTGAAGATGTTTGAACCCCTGGCAGATCAAGTTAAGATCCACTTTTTGTATCTGGATCATTGACATCATTTTTTATTTTTTTTAGAACTGCATCTATTACATCTATAGATCATCTATAGTTAAGATCCACAACAGGATCCACTTATCAGTGGATGCACATCCTGGCCGTGATCCGGTTGGATGGATTCGGAACTATCCAAAATGACGGATCCAGATCCATGGTGCTGCTAGAATTGTTTGGTGTGCCATGGATCCCATCAAGAAATACCCCCATTTATGTTAGCAGCTATATATACCAGCACCAGCCGGATCCTATGATCCGTCATGGGTATGAATATCATTTTTAAGTTCACTTTATCTTCGATTGTCTTCGATCCTTTGAAACGGGATTACCATAAAGTGATATTTCAATACTATCATTGTTTTGATGAAGTCAGGTAGTCGCCACATCAAAAACCACCGCCGCTTCGCTGGGATGAAAATCCTCCCAAGGGGCTATTGGTGATGCGAACAAAAATGTCCTCCTGACCTGGCCACAGCTCATCTGGTTGGTGGTTTCAACCCTACCCCTCGGAAAAATGGAGTCAGTTGGGATGATGACACTCCCATATATTATGTAAAATTCTGAGAGCCATGTTCCAAACCACCAACCAGTCATGTTTGAAGGCACATTTCTCACCTGGCTGGTTTTCAGCTTTGTGAATTGCAGTCTTCAACCGGGAAATAATCTCCAGATGTTTTATCATTCTCGCCATATGGGGTTTTCCTGAAATGGGGGGACCCCTCAATCATCCATTTTAACATGATTTTCCATGAAATAAACCAACCATTTTGGGGGATCCCAATTTATGGAACTCCATATCAGTGGACTTGCTGTGACTCGTGGACTTTCCGGGCCTGGCTTTTCCGGGTTCTCTTCGATGAAATATCGAAGCTGCACCAACCAGTCCTCGGGCGCACGATTATCCCCCAGAAATGTGTGATCTCGGCCCGGTCTTGGCCCATTTTTTTGGGGGCTAATCTTCCATGATCACTGGGCTAATCTTGGATACTCTGCAAAAGAAGCCGTTAACGATTTTTTGGATCCAGAAAAAAAAACCATCATCTCCGAATCATTTCCCATCTATGGCAGAAAGATAGCCCACTAAGTACTAAGCCCGCCATTCACCGGTTGGTTTAGCCCATTTTTTCAGCGCAACGCTGGGTGAGAAAAAAAACCTGGCCATAGGAGCCCATGAACCAATGACACGGGAGGGTGTTCCTCACATTGCCAATCAGCCAGATACCCTGCAAAAAATGGACCGAAATCTTTGCTGGTGAACGTAGATATTCCCATACCAAAAGACTAGTTAGGATTTTTTTTGTATCTAAGATTGACCTAGATCACATACGTTTTTTTCTACACTTGAAACCATCATTTTCACCACAATGAACCATACTAAACCAATTTTTTCACCATATTAAACCCTACTAAACCATTTTTCCCACCATGTTAAACCATTTTTCGTAAACCACATTAGAAAGAAACCTATCCAAGCGTCCACATCCTTAACCTATCCATCCAAGCATCGAAGTCCGTTGCCTCCGAGGTCCCACGGTCTCGCAGCTCCACAATGGTGTCCTGGTGGGACATGGTGAAACATGGGCGCGCAAAGCCCATGACATATCTTGGTGTTTGATGGTTAAAATATCTTAAAATATGTTATATAATATCTTAAAACTGGGGATATTCCATTCATTACAAAGGGGAAATATTGTTTTTTTTTTTTGTGGGGAATTTCTGGGTAATAAGCTGCTGATACAATCACCATCCTGTTGCTGGTTGACCATGGTTGACCATGCTTGACCTACCCCCCTGAAAAATGATGGAGTTCGTCAGATGGGATTATTATTCCAAAATATATGGGAAAAATAAACAATGTTCCAAACCACTAGCCAGATTGGTGTTTGATGGTTAAAATTAATGTTAACATGTTCCCTTACAAAATAATTCCAATGATAGTATTCATGGATATTCATGGGGGTTTATAAACTACCATATATAATGATATAAATTGTGGGCTTTCAGCTTGCAGCATCTTGCAGCTATGTTTGTCGGTTTAGAAGTCCATCTAAATACCTGCAGGACCATCCCTCTTAGTAACTGCTTAGCAACCATGTTTATAAAGCCATTTATATACACGTGGGATAGGCCATTTAAGGGACTTACTAAGCAGGGTTACTCCATCCAGTTCCTACAGTAAGTGGGACGATCCTCCAAGAATAATGATGTAATAGGTCAAGAACCATAGTAAGCCTAGCTATAAGCCAACTTAGCTATCTTTAGTGTGTTGTTCACATGTTAACATGGTATGCATCCCATCCCACTAGCATCTTGGATTTGCAATCCGCCATTCAAACAGAAAAAAAATCCAACAGATCTTCCCAGTAGATTTCACCATTTGATGGTGGATTTACCAATGGGAAAACTGTTGACTATTCGAAAATTCCAGGATTTCGAATAACCAAAGAAAATTCTGGTTTTAGATTGGATCCAATCGTTTTGGGTGGTGGTAGCACTAGGGGGAAGGATATGAAGGGATATTGCGGAGGTTATCATATACAAAAAATACTGCATACCAGGAGTTATCATGGGTTTCAATTAAATCATGGTCCCACAAGTTGTTTGATGTATTCGGGGAGGTTAGGTAACTGACTATCAGGCTTATTAAGAGGGTGTATACTAGGTTCCCTTTTTTATTGTGTTCAATGGCAAGTATATGGCAAGTAATATATAATCTCTGGTTCAGTATTTGGGCATCCCTGCCATGGATCAGAACAATCTTGAATGGTTGTGCAACTGATTAGTGAGTTAATTGATTGTGGTTCTTAAATTGGAGTTATATAAGGTCCCGGCGTTGGGCATTCAATCAAATTGATGTGAGTGTTAAAAACATCTGAATGTGTGGGGTTGTTAATCCATACCAAAGTACTTCTATATATATTTTGGTATTCAATCGCGTGGTGGTTGAGTACAGGAATTGATGGCTCCCCCTCATTCGTGAGCTTTTTTTACGTATGGCATGAAACATTGGGGTCATAGGGATGCCGGCAATTCCCATCCTAAGAGTTTCAACACCATCTAGATGGTACCAAAATGTACCAAAGATGTGTAAATCTTCTATGGACATGGTGAAAAACCATATGGTTTCTGGGTTTCTGGGTGTGAAAAATACCATCCGGATGTTTCGAAAACGGAAACTACTGGGATCTCCGAATTGCCCCCACCGGGTGCCCCCCCCACCATTTTGTGCCCCGCCTTGTTGTGAACAAAGATCACCTGAGTGCTATAGGAGCCCCGGATGTCACCGGTCAACATGGTCAAAAAATTCGGATGATACCATGGGATAGCCCGAAAAAAAATGGTGATAGACGGTGCCCCAGTTCATCAATGGATGATGAGCTTCCCAGACTCATCATTGATGCTTGGAAAAATCCATATCTTCAATACAAGATGGTACCCCAGTTCGTTAGCTAACTTGGTGAACATAACTCCAATTTCACTATGGTTTATGATGGTTTATGGTAGATATATCTGTACGCCAACTATGGTTTATAAACCAACCAACATAACTGGGGGGCACCATCATGTAGTTAGGAAACCTCCATTTACTATTCATAGAACACGGCTGAAGCAAATTGTAGGAATTCAGGACGCCAAAAAATTAGGGTGAGTGGCACATGACATCGAATCTCGCATGCCTTTCTAACCTTTCTATGAGTCAGAACCTGCAAACATTTGGACTCTGGTATCAATGGTCATTCCAGGATCCTAAAATGGAGGTACTGTACCATATAAGGCCATATTTTATGGGGATATTCCCGTACATAGGCCTTACACTGATGGTATGCCGTTCCTAAGTAGGACATAGCGACTGTAGGTGGGTGATATGTTGTCCCGACTCGAGGGCCAGATATCTGCCTGGTCTTCATCACCTGTTTAGCATTGCAAAGCCCCGCTTCCGTTCACACTGCACTAAACAATCAAAATAAAAACATGGACAACATGTATATGGTTCCCCTTCATGTATATGTTACGGATGCTATTCAGGTGTTTTGTCTCACAAGATGCGAATCAAATTGGTGAAGTCAATGGACAGCGATTCGATTCCCAAGTGACGATCAGAGCCTCCAACGTGCAACGCACCAACTTGGGAATCTCTCGCCGCACCAAATTCACCTCAGCCCGGATGGCTCGTTTCATCAGGGGATGGGAATGAGTTTCATCTGAATCATAAGGGATCCAGATGGGTCATGGGCTGGTGAAGATCCATATGCTCCATTTTTTCCAAGAAATTTTAATACACAACGCTGAGTTTGATCAATGGAAGTGCGACATGTCAAGGATTTGCTTCATTAAAAAAGCAACCAGAAAAGAAATCACCAACCTAAAGAATCAGCCAACCCTTGATTGATGGTCATTGAAATAGAACTTCATGGGTTTATCGTCACAAATATTAGATCTGGGCAATTGAAAGCAGTTGAAAGCAATTCCCACTCCTGATTCAAGGCCTTTGCGAGACAAATTCAAGAACATCGCCCAAGAACTATCATTTTTGGTGACAGTTCAATACCCTGTTGGTCAGGATACGGTACTTCTTAGGGCGCACAAATTCTCCTTCACATCGAACCAGTCGCTGTGCTTATTTCCCCCAAAGTACCAAGCTATCACTTCATCAACTATATCACCACCGTGGTTCAAATCCATATTCTGGCTGATACACGCACACACACACACACACATATATATATTGATTCACTAACCAGAAAGTAGCTGCTATCATACGGCCATTTGGGGATGATTCCAATTTGCAATTCCCATCATTCCATCGTGACGTTCCTATACGATCAGACCCCTGTAAAATGACCCCCATCCATTGGTAGTTTCTTCAGGGGAAAAATTATGAAACCCGGATTTTTCTGGAACCGTAAAAACCAGGATTTCCCAGGTCGGTCCCAGGTATTTTCAGAAAAATAAGACACTTGGAATACACTTGGGACTTCACCAAACCGATGACCATCCCAACGCAACCATATCCGACTCTGTCAAGCTGCGATCTCTGTCAAGGTGTTATCCAGCTTGGTGGCATAGTCGACCAAGCCCGCATTTCCTCGTTCCACCAGTGCCTGCCACGTTTCAACAAAGGACACGGAAAAAAAAAAAACACATAAAAACACCGTGGTGCTAAGAAAAAGTTCGCGAAGTTGGTGGAAATCACCAGCTCAATTATGCTATGGGAGATATGTCTGTAGTATTCTGCAGTTACCCTCTGGTAAACTAACATAGCTATGGAAAATCACCATTTCTAATAGGTAAATCAACTATAAATGATCATTTTCAATAGCTATGTTAAATTATCAGGGGGTAATGGAATTATAACATGTTATAAACCAACAAGTCAAGTCTTCCAGTTGGGAGTATGAGCCATTCTCAGATGCACTCACTGGCACTCACATCGATGGCTGTTGGATCTGTTTCATGCGACGGACAATTGCATGGAAAACCAACATGTTCATTAAAATGGCTATAGAAATAGTTGATTTACCCTATTAACAGTTGTGATTTTCCATCGTGTGTTGTATGTTTACCAATTGCAATTTGGGTAGACTTGGCAGCCATGATCATTCAACATATTCAACTCTTCGGAGCCCGCTGGTTGCGTTGCAGAACAACCATTGTGGACTCAGCAAAGTCTCACCAATCCTCGGTTAAGCATCTCATTCGATTATTACCCATGACGGATCCATGGTGCTGGTATATATGCCAATATATGCTAACACAAAGGGGGTATATTGATGGGATCCATGGCACACCATATATAGCAGCACCATGGATCCGTCATGGGTTATATGGTTGGTTAACTCTTAGTATTGCTTGGCTTCCCAAGAGGAAATATGAATACCTCTATAGCTGCCTATAGCTCCTTAGCTCCCTCCAAACCACTGGATAGACATGAAAACTTAATATCCTCCTAACCATCTCGTTTGATATCCTCATAATATCCAACGATCTGCAACATTCTACCACCACAGCTAGCTGCGCTGTGCTGCGCTCCCGCTTCATGTTTCTTCGATTTTCTTCGCGCCTCATTGACTTCAGCTGTCCAAAAGAGATTGAAAATGCCAATGACCACCTGGCCCGGCCACTTCTGCACCCAATCCACAAAGGCGGTGTTCACGTAGTCATCACGAGACCTGATGGATGGGGACAAAGCACCTCTGGGGTAAAATTATGAAGTGAATGTATGGGAAAGGTCTTGACCATATTTGAAGACGATATATATATACATGTGTGTGTGTAAAGATAAAAAAAAAATATCATCATTCACACGTATCATATCGTGTCATGATGATGTTTATTTCATGTATGTTGTGAGTTAACTATCAAGCAGCTTGTTCTACAGCAACATAGTAGCTACGGATCAGCTGGATACGTCCCATTGCTGGCTGCTTTGAATCAAGTTGAAGCTTGGACAACTTGGTGGTTGGCTTTATGCGAAATAACCGGGAAATACCCTCTGGTAAACTAACAGTTTGCTATTGAACATGGCTATTTATAGTTGATTTACCCATCAAAAATGGTGGATCTTTCCATTGTTTTTTGTATGTTTACCAGGAGGGTATCACCATAATATCATCAACAAACATCACTTTTTGGGTGAAACTCAACCAACAAACAACTCGGGACTTCAGGGATCTCACTCAGCCACTGGAAGGACTGGTCCCGGATGGATTCCAACATGGCGTCCTCCACCTGTACCAACCACTTCTCCACTGCACCGTTGGCTGCCACCGGGTCCACGTAGTTCGTCATAGGTACCAGCTCCTGGCGTGACGTGTCGCGTCCCAGGCCGAGGTCATTGGGAACATCAGTGAAAATCCATGGGAAATCCCGGGTTATAATGGGAAAAAATGCGGAAACATGTTGGGTTTTTAAGATGTTTTAAGATGTTTTAAGATGTTTTAACATGTGTTCATCTGACGGTATCTGAGTTTGAAGTACATGTAACTGACAACAAATGACTTCTGGTTCCGGAACCGGAGGGGAATTATGGGGAATTTACACACAATAAACCCAGTTGGTATGACTCCATTCCAGGCCGACAGTCCTTCTCGGGTGAAATCATGCCCGAAATGTTCAGATTCTCTTCGAACTGAAGACTCTGCATGCCTAGCTCCGTGAAGCCCAGGAAGAATCCAACGGGGTCAAACCCCTTCAACAGGGTAACGCTTCCAAATTTGATGGGGTTATATGGGGTTGTTTAGGTCTAAAGTTTAGGTTCAGATATGCATGGCTGGCCTTTGGCAAGTTGCAAGACAGTTGATTTTCAAGACAATAGTGAATAGTGAATCTTCCAAACTGCGGCAAAAACAACTGCAAATCAACAGTCCCCTGGACATGCCTCTGGGTCAAAACCCCACCCGAGCCCAAACTTTTCCGGCACATTGAACTACTTTTCCGGATCTTTTTGGGGCATATGGGCAAGTATAACTTATGACTTATGATTGATGATGCTGTAGTGAATGGTAGTGACCCAAAAGGAATGCTCTGGACATCTCTGGACAGTTCCCGCCAAAAGTTGGTGCCACGCCTTCAAAGCATTTCTTCACGTGAGCGTTGACCCGCTTGGGATCCTTCGTCTCACTCAAGATCTCCAGCAAGTTGTCGTTGGACAGGAAGAAGAAGCGCGGGAAGAAGAGGCGCTTTGTCTCCAGGTAGTCGTTCAGGCCTAGAACTGCCAATTCTGGGGATGTCAACCTAAAACCCATGACGGATCCATGGTGCTGGTATATATGCTAACATAATTTGAGGGTATATTGATGGGATCCATGTTACCATATATATATATATATAGCAGCACCATGAATCCTATGGGAAATGAAGGTATGGGCCAGTGGAGATGGATCTAGCGATCCAACCTGGCCGACCTTTTTTTCAAGGTGCTTCCCATGGTTCACCCCAGGCCCTGCCAATGGGGTGCTGAAAATGATGTCCTGTTATGTCCTGTTATGTCCTGTTTACATTTCTGGAAATTTCTGGGGTTACAGGTTGAAAACTTGTCCATTGTCAACTCCGGATTCAAAATCGCCAGCTGATTCATGTGGGGTGGGTCTTCCAAGAATTATTCTAAAACCATCCAATTCAACAACCCACTTTATGAATTTGGACTTGACATTGCGTCCGGCCCATGACATGGTGCCCTTCTGCACTGTCTCCAGCTTATCGTTGGCCGCTGTCAGGTTTTCCAGGAAGTTGTCTTGTCGAAACACCTGGCAGAGATGGTAGTTTGGCTGCATGAAGTCATATCAGTCATGCCAAAGGTTTCAACAATCTGAGTTTGACCATCCCAAAAAATCGTTCTTGCCAGAACGCCATCCCTACTTGGATGTGCATCCAACTAAGTGGTTTATAATCCATATATAACCCAGATCATCTCATATAAAATCGGGTAAATATAATATGCCATGTATATAACTGGGGGTATCACCCATTACCCAAGTGCCCCATCTGTGCCACAGTGGTGCCCCATCCCATGCCCATCCGGGCTATACCTCCAAGGCTTTGGGTGCCGCCACGCAGGCAGCCATGATTTGCCGCCAGGTGCCATCAACTTCCCGGAAGAGGCGACCCTCCGTAGGCATCTGCTGCATGATGTCCTGGACGTGGGGACATGGAGGCATCATGGCATAGCTGGGGGTAGGAGGAAGGCATCATGGGATACAATGGGTATATCATGGGCATATCAATATCATGGATTTTAATAGATTTTATGGGATAGAATGAGATGCGAGGGTACAAATAGCACATAAATGGTGGATTCACCAATGACTTTCAGGGTGGCCAGCCCAAATACATTTGGGAGGGTTTGTTTGCTTAATATAGAGGTGAATTCACAACTTTTGGCCATTTGTGGCAGTATCTGGTCGGTGGGTGGGTGGGTGGATGGATGGATATTTAACACATATGGTGACTTTTTAGATACAGCTGGCATAGAAACGTTGACACTTTCTGGGATGGTGAATGGTGGTGGGAAGGTGGGAAGCTGGGAAGGGTCTTTGGTGGATGAATCTGGTCATAAAAAAACAGGCAAAATAGCAGGATCTAAGCACTAAACATAGTGGTTTAACCATATTTAACCAATGAATCATGGCTTCATGGGGATATAATTGCTGGATACATGATATACACATTTCTATTTTTTGGGAATGGTGGAAGGCGACCTCATGTTTCAGTGGTATGTCTGGAAACTAGATTCCACCAAACAATTTATCGTAACATTATGGGGATACCAATGCGAATATAGAACCAACAGTATGACAAGTGGCTGTCTGCAAATGGACCATTTGCCTTGAACATGATACACATTTTATAGATAACCTGATGGCTAACCAGTGGATGGAGTGTGGTTTTCCCATGGTTTTCCCCTCAGGTTTCTGGGATGGGTTTATCAGTTGACTCAGTTGACCTCGTGAGAACCATGCTCAGTGCTAGAATATTTACCAAATGACCCAGTCATAGGCAAATATACCATAAATGGAGCACATGGGATGTTAACCATCGTCTTACTGTGTTATATGTGTGTCGGACCTAAGCCTTATCGAATACAACGAATCTGAGGAACACGTCGGGCTCCATCTTCAACCCCAAACCTTGACTTTCAATGGATTTTAAATTTGTAGTCATGTGTAGTTTCTATATTCGCGCATTTTTTCGGACATAGTGTGGCTGGTTGCAAAATCCTGCACTAGTTAATAGGTGGTGTATCCCGTCATTTATAGGCTTTCTACCATCCCAGGTGGTGCAGGATTGCGCAACCATCCACAAATACTTTTGATGGTTTCCTTACCACCCCAGTTAACTATAAGATGGTTTATAAACCCCTGTTAACTATAGTTATAAGTATCATAAACCATAGTGACATTGGAGTTTTCCCTTGGGATTTCCTAAAGATGTTCGGATTTCTCCTGCCTCTGAGGAGAAGATAGGCTCCAGGTAGAGCCAAACTCCTTGCACCTGAACGAGTTGAAGGGTTTATTTTGGTGACTACTATCTGTGTGGCTGCAAGATTATGGGATACAATTGATATGATCAATATGATATTCATAGATGTTAATCAAGTTTAATTAATGGGTTTTAATGAATGGATAGTCTCATTGGATAGATTACAATAGATATACATGGCTGGTTGATGGTTTTAACATGTTTTAACAATCTTGAAACATATTAGTCAATGGGAAGGATGACAACCCATATATGATGGAAAAAAATGTTTGAAACCACCGACCAGATATACATGGGCATTTCAACTAATCCGTGATATTGATGGAATATTCTTGGATGGTGGATGGGGATGGGGGCATATGGTGGTCAAAAACCACGGTACCCGTCTGTGAACCCCAAAACAGCTTGTCAGTGGATGTTCATTCCGGAACATAATATGTACATATATATATATAATATATATATTATTATATATATATGTATATATTCTAATTATCATAGGTCGTGACGGCAAGCTTGATCATCTTGATCGAAATCTAGGAAGCCAGTGAAGAAGCCAAGCCACTCCAATCGGCAGGGTTTGGGGGTGTCCTAATTCTTGACTCACATAGCCATCACGGTGCAGCCTTTTGAAAAGAAATCTGGTGAAATCACAAGTTGCCAGTCACTTTTGGGAAGCCTCAAAGTAGCAGTTTGAAGCAACTAAGCAACTGCCAGTTATGTTAGTAAAGCAATCAAATCAACCACCAATATGTTGATGGTTTAGACATGGACCAATAAAAAGATATGGTAACTTTGGGGATGCTGGATCCTATGGCTTTACCAACAGCCAGGTGTTTTTGTAACGGCTCACAACAAAAAATACATGGCTGTCTGTTCAGCCCATCTCCGAGGGAAAGCCACAGGGATGAACACCACAGGCCTTCAACCACACGTCCACAACATCTTGCACCGCGGTGAGATACTTCTCCCAGTCTTCCAGCCTCTCCTGGGTACAGCTGGCGGGCTGCTTCCACTGCTTCCAGCAGCACTGGCAGAAAAAACACACTTTGAAAAGATCATGAACACAACATGCCGCCATCATTGTGGGCAAGACTCGCATGATCATGATCATGATTCACCAGCATCATGATTGTTTGATCAGCATCATGATCATCAGCAACCGTGATACCCTCTGGTAATGACTAACATAGCTATTGAATCATGGTCCAGTCGAAATAGTTGATTTACCCATTAAAAATGGTGATGTTCCATCGTTTTGTTCCTATTAAAAATTGCAATTTATAGTTGATGTTCCTATTAAAAATGCTGGATCTTTCCATCGCAAACCGTGGCAGTTTACCAGAGGCGAGTCATGATCATCTCCGCCCCGCCCCGCCCCAGGGCGCACCTTGAACTCCGCGGCATAAGGCGAACCTTTCATGGTCTGAGTCTTGATGACATGATCGTCCAATAGGGTTTGCACCTGCGCCAGGAGGTAAAAATTGAGGTTTTTTGCCTTTCCCTACCGCGATAGACCCCTGAAAAATGGATGAGGGATGATGGAGTATGTTTTTGGGATATGTTTGATAGTTAAACATGGTTCAAACTGCTATAGTTGATGGTCACATCCTGATTCTATTAATATTCTATTATATACTCATATAATTTACCAATCTGAAATATCCGGAAATGTTTGGCCATCTAGGGATAATCAGCACATTTCCAGTGAGGTCGTTACATCTCATAACTGCGAGCGACCAGAAATGGTTTGAGATTGAAAGCAACTGTGTCAGTAGTAGAGGCCCATCCTTGCAACCAACCTCACCACCTATCAGTGCCTTTAAAAACAAAATGAACACAAACACGAACCCATCAACTCAAAAAAAGTAATCCCCCAACCTGTGTTGTGGTTTTCCTTCTTTATCCAAGCTCCAAAAACCCTCCAAGTTTCACCTGCCCGCAACACACTACTCAAAGGACTGCCTCGTCAATGGAAGTGCCGGCCACGATGTAGGTGCCTGTGGTGCCCCAGTCCTGCAGTGGCGCTCGGGAACACGGGGATCGGTGAAACGCACGTCTCAAGTCGGACTGTCTTGGGTCATGAAAGATTGCCACAAATGATGCTGCAAGATTGCTATAAAACATGCCGTAGAATAGTAGGATATGCTAGATATGGCAATGCTATAAAATGTTTGAGTAAGTAGGTTTACTGTAATGGAGGCCATCGACCACCACTCACCACAGCTACTCGTCCCCCATGGCATCATGGCACCTTAAACTCCATGACCACGGGCTCCCATTCTTTGATCATGCCTTCCTAGGGGCTTCGGATGGGAGGGAGCATCATCCCAACATGGGTAGCCAGCGTGAGCCAGTTGGAACTATGAATTGAGATTCCCAACACCACATCTGGTTGGTGGTGCAATAACCATCTTGAAAAATATGAGACAATGGGAAGGATGACAACCCATATATGATGGAAAAATAAAACATGATCCAAACCACCAACCACATGATAGTCTAAAATATTCTCAAATGGCTGGACCGTGCTGGAACAGCATTCAGATCGCTTAGACTGAACGATAGCGAAAGAACCGGATCTTCTGAACTGATGTCGCTTTGACTGAAATGGGGAGGAACATGGCGATCATCGACCATTGGATTGTAATTCCAATGCATGATATTGTATGAGATAGTAGCCCATAGGATCCATGTATGCCATATATGATGACATTTACCATCAATATACCCCAAATGTTAACATATATACCATACATGGATCCTATGGGTAGTGGAATAGTGGGTATTTTTGCCAAGAAAAAGGGATGCCGACCATGACCAAACAGACCTTGCAATGATAAGCCAGGCTTGGCGGAACCCGCCAAGGTTACAGGAACAGATTGAACTTCTTCCTACAACCAGTTCATGTTCTGTCTAAACAACCAAACTGGCTAAGGGAATAGAATTAAACTATACATTTTCATAGAATTGGACTAATATACATAACATTTTTCAACCAAGAGAAATTAAAGAAAATCTATCAATTTCTATCAAATACATATTCTATTGATTTCCTCCAAACATTTGTCTTTCGGGTCTCACGACAAAGGGGCTAGGCCACTTTCGATTTGGTACTCCTTGGCCGCGGACTCCGAGATCTCACCTGGGATGTTCGGTCACGGTGACCCGGTGACCGGTCAACAACTGGGGGCGGGCAAGGAGCCAAGTTAAGGCGACGCTTAGAGCAGGTAGATATTCAACAGAACTGATAAGTTAATTGCAGCAGGTAGATATCACATGTGATATTCAACACATTTCAACCACCATGGTTGCACCGAAGAGCAGGTAGAGCTTCAATCTGCCCATAGCGTGAAACCACAACCACCAGACATGAATTGCCCCAGCTGCGCCTCAAATAATGGTATAACTTATAACACATGTAAATGGGATAAGCATGGATAAGTGATAAGACATGGGTTCCCTCATTGGTGGAACAAATAGCCCAAACCTACAAGGTCATGCCCCTGAGGTATGTTCCGTATAATTATATATATATACAGTACATATGTACCATAAACCATCGAATTTGCCTAGTTATAGATACATTAAAACCCAGCTTTATATAGGCAGCTAGTTTTCGAGATATTCGATAACCCCATAGTATCCCTAGTTTTCGAGATATTCGATAACCCCATAGTATCCCTAGTTTTCGAGATATTCGATAACCCCATAGTATCCCGTAGTTACTAGATAAACCAGGGTAAGCTAACAGAAACTGCTGCCATCACCGTCACCAATCGTCTAGGGAACTGATCTTCTGGACATACGCCCCGATGTCCACATCCAGGGCCTCAGCTGTGTCGAAACTTCTCGAAACCATGGGACAACCATCTAAGGATGTCCAAAGATACCCTCTGGTTATGTCAAAATAGCTATTGAAAATGGCCATTTATAGTGAGTTTTCCCATGAAAAATGGTGATTTTCCATAGTTACGTTAGTTTACCAGAGGGTATCTAAGATCTCAGTGTGATGATGTGCTTTTGTTGGAAAAAAACATGTGATTTGTCAACTGAACATGGGACTGATCACAATGTTTTCGCGTTCGGAAGCAGACGGATGTCGTCGTTTCTGCTAGAGGCATCTGGTGGAAGGGATTCCCCCAACAACAAAATGTTTGGATGTTATCAATGACCAACATGACAATACACATATTAATTTATGTCTATATATACAATGTGAGGCCCCCAAGATTGATGTTTGTTGGTTAACAAAAGCCCCAGTAACTAGTTCGTTATTTGAGTACCATAAACCATAGTGACATTGGAGTTATAAACCAACTTAGCTATCTGGGGGCCTCACATTGTACAAATATTTATGTATGTATATATATATGTACATAGTGTATGTGTGTGCAATGCAATTTAACATTGTATAATTATATATATATATGCATATTGCAAAATCCTAGCCCCTCTAAGTAACTACCTAGACAAATGGGGTAGTACAATACCAATCAATTATTTTGGCACGTGCCGATTTTTTAAAATCAGTATTTGGAGGGTCTAAGATTCAATACAACGATCCTCAGAAAATGAACCGGGCCATCGTCAGCCATCCTGACATCAACTCATGGCTGACCATGAGTTGCGACTCAGCAAGAAAGTGAACGTTCCGCAGGATACCATGCTTACATCCACATGTATACATCTACGCCTCGCGTGATCTATGTGTGTGTGTATGTATGTGATATTTTTTTTAGTAATACGCACGTACATAAATTCATGGTGACATACAATAATGCATCTGTCCATTAAAATGGCCTAAAATCACCTATCGTTCACCAAAGGGTTCAGGCACTTCTCATCGCTATAGGCTATATCCATGTTTCATGACCCCACCAGTTTCTTCGCAAAACAGCTTTAAACCGCCTATAGCTGATCTTTAGTTTTCATGTTTAAATCTTGGGTTTAGCTGTTCATTGCTGTTCACGATGTATTCACCAAGTATTGCTCAGATGTTCATGATTTTCCCCCGATCCACCTATCCGCGGGAATTCATGTACCCTCTGCATGGTAATCAAACATGGCTTGCTGGAAGATGCCCCAGTTTAGTTCGATGATTTTCTGCTCCCACATGATCCATCACTTTTCCATCATTTCCCCATCATTTCCCCATCATTTCCCATCATTTTCCCATGAAATCCATGGGGAGTTCCCCCTTTTGATGACACTCCGGTCTCCAAAGGTCGCCATGGCCCGCGCGTGCCGCGCCTTGTTGAGCGTCATGGTGGGATCGGGTCCCATCTCGAAGCCAATGACGTTGGAAATCTCGGTCCAGTGCCGTTGCCGGAGCCCGGGATTCACCAACGCATGGAGCAACGGGACATTCTCCTGGGCCAATTTATGGGCCAATTTATGGGCCAAAATCATGGCCAATAAAGTGGAGAACATGCTGGCCGGTGTTTTTGTCATGAGATTTATTTATAGATTTATGGGATATGAATCTGGGATTAATGGCATTTGTATGTGTAATAAATCCATGGAATATGGTATTAATAGATATGATGATATTATATATATATATGATATGAATCTTACAATTAGATATGAAATGGGTGCGAGCTTTCTGTTTTGGGATCTTAATGGAATTTTACTGGGACATGATTATGGTATTAGTTAATGGGATGTGAATAAGTACTCATGAGATACAACATGATGTAACTGAACTGCGCGCCCTGATTGCAGGTTGGGTACCTGAAAATAGAGGACTCAATCACCAAGTTGTAGCTATCTGAATCGGGAACAGGTTTTAGACCAGTCAATCTGGGAGGAGCCTGTTTTCAAAAAACACTTATGGCTGCATGCCACACCGCCACCTCAAATTGCTAATCATATCTAACCTGAGATATGTTTATTTCTCCCATCATCATGGAGGATTTCCTCTCGCGTAAAAAAACTGCCTGTTTCCAAGCACAGCTCGCATCTACGGAAACTGCGGTGTTCCTTGAATGCATCCAAGTCATTCTTCACCTTCTCTGCGGCCTGTGGCAGCAAACTGCAGGGAGATAGGCAAGTGAAAATGCTGCGAGCTGAAAAAAAAGCGGCGTTCTCTTTTTGAGTTCTATGACTCTGCAGAGCTAATCTTTTGAGGTTTCTTTGAAAAAAAATCCATGGGTATCCTACCAAACAGTAGATTTCAAGACTTTCAGACTGGAATCGTGTCTGCAAAAATGATCACCTCCGGACCGTCTACTCCGGTGATCATGGGGACGAACAACCGTTATACGTTAGTAAACATGGCAAAAAACCATTGAAAGATAGTATCTGTTTAACCCGGTGTAGATTGTGTTTTCACACATCGCTTATCACACCAAGATAAACACTTTGACATCATCATATGGCGGCATATTTCGGCCACGTATAAATCACGTCCGGGGGAGTCCGTACCTTGGCGGGCTTGGTGAAACCTTCCTGTTCGAAGCCTGCCTTCAGCTTGAAGGACCTGGTGGCTGCACGAGGCATGGCATCTTGAACTTGCCAGGTGCCGCTCAAAAATCTCCAACATCGTTCCAAAGAGATTCACAAGACTCCAAATTCATCGGAATATGAATCTGAATATATCTGAATATATGGTTTCTAATAGATGTGTCTATTGATTTTAGGCTTAATCGCTATTAATATCCAAGGTTTAATCAGTCGATGTTTGTTTGCCCCAAACATGGATCCACGGCAACATCGGCAACAATGGCTTCCGTGTAACCGCCAGCCCTCGATCGGTGAATTGTAACTCAGTTTGTAATTTAAATATGAGTCGGAACATAACATTACATTATAGTTACAAAAAAAACATTGCATTGAAGTACATTGCACTATGTTACAGTATGTTGCAGTACATTGCATTTCATCACATTATATTACGATACAGTGCATTACATTACTTTTCTTGCAGTACATGACGCTGCGCTACACAACATTACATTACATTAGAATACAGTACGCTTCACTACATGTCATTACAATTACCATCTGGTTATTTAACATAGCCATGGAAAATCATCATTTTTTAATAGGTAAACCATCTATAAATGGGCCATTTTCCATGGCTATGTTAAATAACCAGAGGGTACATTACACTACATGAATATTACAGTGGGTTGCATGACATTGCAGTACTTTGCCTTCCATGCATATACACATTTAAATTACATATTAATTAAAACCCATTGTTCACCCTAATAGTTTGGTACTTGCAACCCCGCAACTAAACGTGAAGCGGGTGGAGCGGGTTGTTTCCGCATCGAAGCGACGAAAACCACTCAACTCATCAAACTATCTACTAACTACAGTGACTACAGTAATAATTGAATGCACTTGTCTAGTTGCAGTGCTCATCGAAACTACTACGTTGTACCCTGTGGTAATTTAACATGGCTATGGAAAATCACAATTTTTAATGGGGAAACTCACTATAAATGGCATAAATGGCCATTTTCAATAGCTTTTTCTATGTTTACCAGAGGGTAACTATCATGTGGAAACGGGAAACTCAATTCCTAGCTCCGGCCATGTCTGACTCCTCAACCAAAGGACAAACGCCACATGCTCATCACCTCCGATTCGACTTCCTGGCGCCACTCGAGTTTTCTCGGTGGAACATCTGCGAGAAAACATGCTGCAAGAACAGAAAAACTTCACCGATGGTGTATAAATCAGAGATACTCAAATCATATGTTTATGAAATGCTGATATACTGGTTGTGTATGTTTATGAATGTTTATGATATAACCCATAATTAGGATCTATGTATGCTATATATAATATGGTGTGCCATGGATCCCATCAATCTACCCCCAATATTAGTTAGCATTAATATACCAGCACCATGGATCCGTTGACGGTAACCGCCTCTGGGGAGATTTGACCGCCGAAGAGAGGTGTGCGCGTCCATCTCTGGTGCGCCTGGGGTAAGAAATGGTGAAAAGGTCAGTTAAATCCCACCAGCGATGGTGAAAAATCTGAGGTATAACTATGGAAAATCACCATTTTTCATGGGCAAATCAACCATAAATGGGCATTTTCAATGGAAAATCAAAGTTTGGGGTCTGGATTGGATGGCTTTTAAGCACTGGCATCTATTTTAGTTGACTTGGATTGGATGAAGTGGTCATTGCCTTTGCGTTGATGATGTTTATTTACATAGTATTTATAGAAAAGGTCAAGGTGTGATAGGTGTGATAGGTGTGAAGGTCTTCCAAATGCTGTGCGTGTTTCTTGGTAGTTATGGCTGCACCTTTTTGTGCTCGAAGACCAAGTTCCACAGCTTGTCGTACCTGCCATCATGGCAGCTGTGACGCAGTAAAATCATACAAGGTATGCTACGTGGATAGCTAATAATAGTAAATCCTATAATTACCTGGAGGATCCAGGAGGTTATGTTAACAAAATCGTGGTAGTTATATATAATAGTTATATACAGTAATGCAGGTTGTAAAACAACTTCTGACTGGGGGAACCACATATTTATTTATTGCAATAGTACGATATATGTGGCATGAATATATGGTCCTATCCCAACGAATATGTGTAAATCCCATTAAATCCCTATGGTTTGATCATCACACCAATTTGGACAAGTTATCCAAGCTTTGACCCTGGCATACGCTGACCCAGTATATAAGAGATACTAAGACAGGTTGCAAAGGGCAGCCCCTCTTTTTGGCATCCGATAGCTGTCTTTTCACAGTGATATTTCTGGACAAATTGCATAGTACAAGCTGGTAAAAAGGTCTCATGTTCCCCCTTCATACAGCCCCTTCGTTGAAATCTAGGCTGTGTTGGTGGTAAAGAAAAAGGTAAATCACCAAACCTCTCCAAATCTAATTACAAATCAGCCAGTCACAACCAGGCATGATCAAAGAATGCCTGGTTGCCATCAGAAAAAATCTCAGGAGTTGAGCACCTGCCTGCACTAGTGATATTCAATCGTGTTCATGATAGTCGTCCGAATCTGCCAGGAATATCCAGAAGCCGACCGAATCTGCGGCCGAGCTAAAGGTAACTACAGTAGCTAAAACGTTGTGACGTGGCCAGTGAATCTGGTTCCCAACAATCACGACACCTGCGCATTTGGAGGCTTCAACCACGGACCATGTTCAACCCCCACTTTCGTTGCATCACTCTTCTTCGCTTCAATTGATCACCGATCTTGGCATATCTTGGCCACATTTCTGGATAAAAAATCCGCCCACAGCCCACATCTTCCACAGTTCAAAGCGCACGGTTCCACAGCTGCGAAGGCGTCGTTGATCTCGAACTCTCCGGGTTCAAAGCCCACCAGCCTTGGCCGGAAAAAATAGATGCAGGGCAGGCTGCAAGAGGGCAATCTGATAGCTGACCCTGGAGATTTCATGCGGCATTTCTAGCGGCGTCAAATCAACATATTCCCCAACCGGTGAATCAGGGGCTTCAACCAGCCCCCAAGAGGTGACCCCCGAAGAGAAGTGGACAGAAAAAACGGGTTCATTAACCACCAACAACCACTTTTAAGGAATATTAAGGACTAATCAATCATGGGGTTGGCTGATTCATGCTGATTCCCCCATGAGATCTTTACATCCTCTCCATGCTCGAATTATCGCTCATGTTAGTAAAGCGATATCATAACCCAGCCATATTTTGATGGTTGAAATCCTACCCACCAAAAATTGCGGGGATGGATCCATAATATGTTTGAAAAAAACATTGAGTTGCTATGCTCACCTACCAAGCCAGGTCTACCCTGGCGACTTTCCGGATCATGTCAGGCAACTCCTCTTCGTACTGAATTCTCTCGCATCGCGCCTGCGGAGGTCTGAGATGCAGGAAACGGCCAACATGCAAATGATTCAAACAATGGGTTTAAGATGGTTTAAGGATACCTGGTAAAGTAGCATAGCTATAAAAAGAAAAAATACCATTTTTGGAAGGTAAAACATCTATAAATGGGCCATTTTCCAAAGCTATGTTAGTTCACTGGAGGATACATAAATCAGTTTGTTGACTGATAAAAACATAGGGAGTCGCTGACGATAATCTATCACACCAAGTTTGGATTCCCCAACCGCTGGTTAGGTTCATTGCGAAAGCAATATTCAAATCAATGCAATTCATAGCCTCCAGTTGTTTGGCATGGTGAAAACACACTATTGATAGATTTATGATATAATTTACTTACTCAAAAATTGTCATTTCCCGTAATTCCCAAAGGGTCACTTCTTCGCATCTACCCGGTGAAATCAGCTATGATTTAGCTGCGTCCATTGGTGTGCTCATATCAACCCGGAAAGTGGTGAGTCACGCAGAAGCGTTTCAACAAACACTGTGGTAGAATATGGGATAATTATCAAGCTGGAAATAAAAACGTCACGTCTATCACCTACCTACCTACCTACCTATCTATCTATTTATTTATCTATCTATTTATCTATCTATTTGTCTATCTATCTATATCTATCTATATCTATCTATATCTATCTATATCTATCTATATCTATCTATATCTATCTATATCTATCTATATCTGTCTATATCTATCTATATCTATCTATATCTATCTATATCTATCTATATCTATCTATATCTATCTATATCTATCTATATCCATCTATATCTATCTATCTATCTATCTATCTATATCTATCTATATCTATCTATATCTATCTATATCTATCTATATCTATCTATATCTATCGGTATCTATCGATATCTATCTATATCTATCTATATCTATCTATATCTATCGGTATCTATCGATATCTATCTATATCTATCTATATCTATCTATATCTATCTATATCTATCTATATCTATCTATATCTATCTATCTATCTATCTATATCTATATCTATCTATATCTATCTATATCTATCTATATCTATCTATATCTATCTATATCTATCTATATCTATCTATATCTATCTATATCTATCTATATCTATCTATCTATCTATCTATATCTATATCTATCTATATCTACCTATACCTATCTATATCTATCTATATCTATCTATATCTATCGGTATCTATCGATATCTATCTATATCTATCTATATTTATCTATATCTATCGGTATCTATCGATATCTATCTATATCTATCATATATCTATCCATATCTATCGGTATCTATCGATATCTATCTATATCTATCATATATCTATCCATATCTATCTATATCTATCTATATCTATCTATATCTATCTATATCTATCTATATCTATCTGTCTATCCATCTATCCATCTGTCCATCTATCCATCTATCCATCTATCCATCTATCCATCTATCCATCTATCTGTCTATCTGTCTATCTGTCTATCTGTCTATCTGTCTATCTGTCTATCTGTCTATCTATCTATCTATCTACCTATCTATCTATCTTTCTATGATGTCTGTCTGTCTGTCTGTCTGTCTGTCTGTCAGTCAGTCAGTCAGTCAGTCAGTCAGTCAGTCAGTCAGTCAGTCAGTCGGTTAGTCAGTCAATAATCAACCAATTCGATTCAATAATATTTCATCTATGTACAGCAACGCCCAAGAAATATAAAAGTGAAACCCTACTAGTATATCAATAATATATCTAATATATGGCAAACGGCTGTTCTTTCTGCTGTTCTGTAGATATTTCGAGGATTTTCGGCTCCTGCCTGCAGGGCGGTCAAGTTCTTCTTGATGCTGGACAAATCCTCCAAATATTCTTCGAGATATCTGACTTGACCTGCGATAAAGTCATGCAGGTCAAATGCGCCAAGAATTGACCCAACGTGGCGGGGCGGGTCGTTTGTTTCTCCTGCTTGAACATGGTTGAAAGCTTTGGAAGAAACAAATCAACTGCAAACTGTAAACGACAAAATGGTTGGGACCTTAATGTTTGGAACTTTGATGTTTGGAATCCCTGTGCATGAATAGAGACACCAAACCAGGATAAACCAGGGCTGGGGGCATTGGAAACCACGAGCATTTGCTTTTTTGGATGGTTTCCATGCCTGAATGATTCTGATGCTGGAAATGCCAATTTTTTTCAGTTCTCAACAAGGTGAGAGCGTGGAATCGCAATACCAATCCCCATTACCCTCTGGTAAACATACAAAAAGCTATTGAACATGACCATTTATAGTGGATTTTCCCATTAAAAAATGAGATGTTCCATAGTTATGTTAGTTTACCAGAGGGTAATTAGTTCATCCCTTACGATGTTTGACGATTTTATGGGTTGAATTTTGCTCGTCTGATAGGGACCCTTTGCAAGTAGAAGCAGGACCCAGTGTTGTAAAGCTAGCCTCCAGCATCTGGCACTGGGAAAAGCTGGAGAGGTTTCTGAGTCTGAAAACAGCAGAAATCAAATGATATACAAAAAAAAACGCACTCAAGAGAAAAAAACGGTGAAGAGATTGATTTGGGCATCCCCATGATTGTCTGATTGGTGGCTTCAATGATCCAGAGACCGAATCTGAAGACATCTTCCCAGCAAATGCGAGCCATCGATGCAACGATTCACAGGAGACGAGCGATTATCTGTGGCAAGAATCGGGCATGAAAAGGTAAAGTAAATCCCTATAGCAATTGGGTCATGATTCCCTTTTCCACCTTTTTGGGCATGTGTATTATTCTTATTCTTACATGTTCTACATCTTTCATGGTGAAATCCGATGAAATCCGTGTTGTTTTCTTGGGGTTCTGGCGTGCCCAGCTAGGTCCAACACCGCACCCCGGAAAACGCCGCGAGTTTTCGCCTTTCTCTTTGAACTTGTGCACGCTGGTCATCAAGTTAGCCAATTCCTGAGGCCGAGTTTTTTGGACGCACAGGATGGTGCATCCCAGGAATCGATTTTGTGGATTTTTGTGGTTTATACCCTCTGGTAATGACTAACATAGCTATTGCAAATGACCGTAGAAATAGCTGATTATTTCACAGTTTACTATTGAACATGGCCTTTTAGAAATAGCTAAAATTTAGCCAGCTATAAAATGGTGATGTTCCATAGCACGCAAACTGTAAACGTTTACCAGAGGGTAAGCCTTTTTCAAACAGCTCCGGATATCCAGAGAGACTGGGGCGGCATCCACAAGTAGGTCAATTCAACATTCATCTTCCATAAATGTGTCATATTCCAGACATATTTCATCAATAAATATACTTACAGAAACATCCATTAATATAAAACCACCTATATAATATTCATATTCAACCATAGTATATTAATATTCCATTTTATAATATGTCATATTCCATGTATATACAACCATACATATATATATATTTATATATATATATATTCAGTAATATTCACTCAGGTCAACAGCTTTTCTGGATCTCACTTCGTCACTTCCAAGGCACTTCCTGCAACTCCGTTCGCCTCGTGATGAGTTTGCCTTCGATGTTCAAACGGTCCAATTCCTTGATGCTGTGGCTTTTTGTTTTTTGCGGCAGAAATGAGAGGAACATGATGGAGGTTTCCAAAGTTATGGTACCCCAATAGCTGGATGCTTCATTTCATGGAAAATCCAAGCTATAGTCATGGAACATAAGGGGGAAATGAGAGGAACATTTTTCGGAACATGTGACACTCAGTTTTTCTCCAACTTTTCTGTGCCCCTCCCCTTTCTAGGGACATCCCATAGGAATATTTCTTGACATCTTCACCATAGAAAATGGGACCCTAATATTTAGCTGGTTGATGGATGGTTGATCCATACCCAGATGGTGAGGTAACAAAACTTAAAAAAGTTCGTTTCATCTCTAATGTAGGGAAAAACAATAATAGACCATCACCCACATCACCAAAAAAATAGGTGCATATTACATCACCAAACAAATTGGTGCATATTGTAAATATACTATAAACAATTCCCAGTCATGGGTGGTGTATGGCATTGGTTTTACCCACATTATTCACAAATACTTCACGTAGACCAGGGGGCCTGCGATCCAGGGGCCCTGGCCCCAAAAAGATCCCAGCGACTGGGAGACATGGGCTCCAAAAAATGACCAAAAACTGGTTGGTGGTTGACCTACCCCTCTGAAAAATATGAATTCGTCACTTGGGATGATTATCCCCAATATAATCCAAATGTTCCAAACCACCAACCAGAAATGAGCAAAAATTTCGGGATATGGTCCAGTTGGCTACCCAACTGCTACCCCTCACAAGCTGCAGAACCTTCTCGCAGCATGCATTTTCTGGGCAAAAGCCAAATTGATCTTGGATTATGTAATGGGGATAATTATTGGCAGCTGAACGCAGCTACACTGCTATGTACTCTACACAATCTCTACAAAATGTTAGAACAAATATAGCTTTAGCTCTTTACTTGTTATTGTTTTACAATCACAATGAGAACACCCCCACTACCCAGCCAGATTCACCCAAACTAAGCTCCTAAACGAAAATCCTCAGCCCGCAGCTCTTCACATCCCATATCTCAACATATCTCCACCTTTCGGTGCCGTCCCAGGTGCCAGATCCTTCTCCCGCTCCGCGATGTTCTCGCCGTAGGTCTTCCATTGCGACGCCGCCCAGATGGGGTTGTAGTCCTCGTCCGTCAGCATGTATTCCTGGCCGCGGCGCCAAGGGAGCAGGTCATGGTGGGCACTAAAAGCTGTGACAAGGGGTGCAAATGAGAATGAACATCGAATCATTGTGGGGGGAAAACACAGGATTGTGCATCATATATGTAATTAATATATATATATATATATATATGTGTGTGTGTGCCTGGCTGTGTGTGTGCAAAACATATTTTGGGTCTGTAACACCGAGTTAAAAAAAGTTGGTGCAAGGTGATGCGCCCAAACAATAGCTAAGTTGGTGAATAGATCGAACTTGTTGATCGGGTGTTTTTGAAGCAACAAACATCACTGGGGGGCAAAAATCTCATAACACGGCTAACCTTAGCTACAAAGGAAAGAAACTCATTTTTCTTGGGCCAGTAAATGTTCTCCCACATAAGAAAAAAACAACAAACTGAAAGGCGATTATATATAATTATTGACCAAAATTTCGCCGAAGTATATTGTTTTAACTTTAGACTATGTTTTTTTCCACCCATGAACCTTCCCCATACATCCCCAGGCTTCGCGTTTGTTGGAAACAATACCCACCACTGGCCACGGCTGCAAAGTAGGGCCCCTCAGCCGTAAGTTGGCGCGAAAAAGATTCTAACCATAGACTCTAGGTTGGTTGGTGGTTGACCTACCCCTCTGGAAAATATGAAAGTCAGTTGGTATGATGACATTCTCAACATATGGGAAACAAAAGCCATGTTCCAAACCACCAAGCAGTAGTCAAATTCTAGTCAACCCAGTAGTTTTCATCAACTTAGCTGACTGGGGTAATGTGGGCAGCCTGATGCCAACAACTCCCATGGCTGGGGATGGTTGAAGTCCCACAAAAAAATGGTGCTGTTTAAAACATTGGGTTTATCAATGTGTCTCACATTAATCGACATTTATTGCATTTCATTATTGGCTGTGCGTCAGTGACTATGGCTAATGGGAAAAACATTGTTTATCAAGAAAATCACCACATTAGTTTGTGTACAACTGGGTTAACTATGGTTGACTATGATTAAGTACATGGTTTGATAATAAATAAGCAAACATATAATTAATATATATATAGATAGATGCAGTATGTTAATATATGTTGAATGGAAAATATGTTTATGTTTATTCACTATCAGCTATGGTTTACCACATATATATATATATCATTTTTTTGATGGTGTTTAAATATATCTCGCCAACGGCCCTGGATGATCGATGATCGATGATCGTCCTGATCCCAGGCCAAGAAGAGCCAAGCTTTGATGTCCTGGGACGATGGCTGTATTCCGATCCGATATAATTAGTCATGGAACTGCTGGCTTTTCCATAGGGAAAACACGTGGCTTTTCCGGATCAAATGGCCATTGCCATTTAGTCCATATTCCCTGTCTTGTCGGGAAATAATGATGAACCAGTGGTTGTTTGTCGGGTTTCCGTTGCGTTGGATTTGATAGGGCCGTGCCAAGGATACTGCAATTGATCTACATAGGGACAAGATGTATCTTTCTGTGGCATCTTATATCTGTGTTTTGCCTATGAAAATTGTGAAAGATTGCCGCTCTGGGCTATCCCGCATTTCCGGAGACTTATTTCAAACAATTTATGCCACAAAACTACTACCATTAGTGAATGGTCGAACGTGTGGAATTCCCACCCATTCGTAGGATTATATCGAGGATGGCCCATGGATTTGCGATTGGGTTTCCAACAACTACCCTCTGGTAAATTAACAGTTTGCGAACTGGAAAATCACAATTTTTAAGTTCAGTAAATCAACGAACTAAATGGCCATTTCCAATAGCTACGTTAAATTACCAAAGGGTAACATGAGCTACTAGTGGACATGAGCAAACCAATATTAGATTCAACATGAACTACTACACAATTCAAAAAAAAACATGTAACTTGAGCAAAACCTCAAAAAATTGGGAACCTGGTAGCATCACTACGCTGCCAACTTGGAGGTGCAGTTGAAGTCAACAACATGGGCACATTTGTTTTTTTTTGCCCAATGAACTGGGATATCACCCCTTTAACATCCTCCAAGTACTGTATATGACTCTATATGCTGATATGTGCCATAAATGTGTCACAACCAGAGTTCAATCCCCCCAAAAATGGACAAAACTGCAGCCATGTCCATCCCATTCCGCCTCGTATTCTTCCAGCAAGCTGGGAAGGACCTTGGCCTTGGCCTCTTCCACCGCAGTCTCCAGTTCAACCAGTTGTTCCTGTCGGAAACCCATGAAGAAATCGCCAGTGAATCCAGTTAAAACATATCGAAACTCAAGGAATCATCCGGAAATGCCGGATTTAGTGGCTGCAGTCATACATCTCTATAGTCTACATTGTCTATCATTTTTGTTGTGCATATACATGACCAAAAAGTTGACTGCAATCAACCAGGGTTTCAACTTGGCCCGGAATCCAGGCCAAGTTAACTATGTTAACACCCACACACACATGTATATATATATATATGTCTATGTGGATATTACACCAAAAATATTCTACGATCTTCGATTCACCTAAAAAGTTCAGCCATTTGGAATTACGTGTTTCATCCTTTACGTCATGAGGTCGCAGTGAGGTCGTGATGATTATCCTGCAAAAAAAAAATCGCACGCCTCGTTCTCTGGCTGTCGCATGATGCGTCCATTGAGGTGTTCGAACTGCTTCACCAAGCCTCCAGGGCTAAGCGGCTAGGGATATGTTATTTGGCTAAGTTTATCAATGACATACACTATACGCACACACGCACACACACACAAACACACACACATATATATATATATACATATACCTGATTTTCAATATACAGTATACTGTACATGTAAATATGCATGTTAATGGTGGTTGATCAACCTAATCAAAACTATTTACAGGGACCTTTAGTTCAAGCAATATGCCAAAATTCATTGGAATAAAATGACGGCTTAACATGTTTAGGCTTGGACTCGGCTCACTCACCAAAGAGGCACACATTCATAGTTTGCAATGATGTGGGTAAAACAATGTCATAAACCATCTTCCAGTCATCACCAATCTTATAGGTGGTATGGTTACCAATTCCAATTGGGTGGTTTATTCATGATATAATGTTTTATCATGTTTTACCCACACTAATAATCTTAGGTGAACTGCACGGTCAGCTGCCAGCCAGCCCCAATCCCTTCCAACCGAGGGGCGTGAGGATCGGTCCTGGTTCCGTACGGCCAACGACTTCAGCAACTTGGCGATACAATCTTCGGCGCACTGCTCCAGCTTTTGATTCACCTCCCAACAATCGCGGTGGAAGATGAGAGATATACCCTCTGGGAATCAGCTCCATGGCTGGAAGATTCCACATAGATAGATAGATAGATAGATAGATTGAGAGCTAGAATATAGATAGACAGTTAGATACATATAATAAATATAACTATATATATTACCCAGGCTATAAACCTCCGTTTGCATCGGGGATTTCCAAGTGCCATCTTTGAGGACACCGGAGAAATTGCTGGACCCAGCGTTCTGAACGATACGAACGATCCAAGGATCCGTGGTAACCCGAAGATTTTGGTCGCCTGAGATTTCCAAGAGATCTATTTAGCATTGTAAATGGGGGTTTCCATAAATGGGGATATCCCTAAATCATCCATTTTGATAGGATGCCCATTATAAATAACCCATGTTGCCCACCCCATTGATGGAAACCACCATTTAAAGTATACTAATACCCCAAAAAGACTGCCGAAATACAAAGTATATATGCTTGGAAAAACCCAAACTGATAAAAAAAACAAAAACTGATTCACATTACTTCACATGAATAGCGACTTTCAACGGGTAAAACAATGTCATAGACCATCCCCCAAATCACCATTTTATAGGTGGTATATATAAACA